GTGCAGTGGCGTGATGTCGGCTCACTGCAAGCTCTGCCTTCTGGGTTTGCATTGCCGAGCCTAAATCATGTTTCTTGACTGCAGGTGTTAGTGTTTAAACTTTTTTTTTTTTTTTTTTTTGAAGAGATGAAGTCTCACTCTGTCATCCGGGCTATAGTCTAGTGGTACAATCATAGCTCACTGCAGCTTCTAACTCCTGGGCTGAAATGATCCTACCAAGTCACTGGGACTATAGGCAGGAGCCACACCATCCAGCTAAAAAAAACTGGGACTGCAAACCTGCACGACCACACCCAGCTTCTTCTTCTTTTTTTTTTTTTTTTTTTTTTGACTTTTTGCAGACATAAGGTCTCTGTAAGTTGCCCAGCATGGAAATGTTTTTTGTTTTTGTTTAACCAGTGAGGTCTCATAATTCACTGCAACCTAGAATTCCTGGCCTTAAGTGATCCTGCTGCCTCAGCGTCCTAAAGTGCTGGGATTACAGGTGTGAGCCACTGGGCTTAGCTAGAAATGACTTTTTATTTATTTATTTATTTTTAGAGAGACAGAGTCTTACTGTGTAGCCCAGGCTAGAGTGCAGTAGTACAATAATGGCTCACTACAACCTCTAACTCTTGACTTCAAGTAATCCTTCTGCCTTGGCCTCCCAAAACACTGGAATTACAGGCATGAGGCCACAAATGACTTTTTTTTTCAGACAGGTTCCCACTGTGTTACCTAGGCTGGAGTACAGCGGTGTGATCGCAGCTTACTGTTACCTTGACCTCCCAGGCTCAAATGACTCTCCCACCTCAGCCTCCCAAGTAGCCAGGACTACAGGTGCGCACCACCATGCCTGGCTGATTTTTGTATTTTTTGTCAAGACAACGTTTCACCACATTAGCCAGGCTGGTGTCAAACTCCTGAGCTCAAGTGACCTGTGCACCTCAGCCTCCCAAAGTGCTGGGATTACAGCTGTGAGCCACCATGCCCAGCCCACAAATGACTTTTTAAACAAGCATACCAGAACTTTAAAATCTAAGCAAGTATTGCCCCTCAAAACACAGAGGTTCACTTTGGTAGGCAGAGCCTCTTCTACTGACGTTTTTACTACTTAAAAATTATTTGGGGTCAGGCATGGTGGCTCACACCTATTCCTGTACATTGGGAGGCTGAGGTGGGAGGATTGCTTAAGGGCAGGAGTACAATACCAGACTTGGCAACATAGTGAGACCCCATCTCTACAAAAATAAAATAAAATTAGCTGGGCATGGTGGCAGGAACCTGTAGTCTCAGCTACTTGGGAGGCTGAGGCGGAAGGATCACTTGAGCCCAGGAGGTTGAGGCCAGAGTGAGCTGAGATCACACAACTGCACTCCAGCCTAGGGGACAGAGCAAGACCCTGTCTCACCAACAACAAAGAATTGGAACTACTTGACCAACCGCGGTGGCTTGTGCTTGTAATCCCAGCACTTTGGGAGGTGGAGGTGGGCGGATCACCTGAGGTCAGGAGTTCAAGACCAGCCTGACCAATATAGAGAAACCCCATCTCTACTAAAAATACAAAATTAGCTGGGTGTGGTGGTACATCCCTGTCATCCCAGCTACTCAGGAGGCTGAGCCAGAAGAATCTCTTGAATCCGGGAGGCGGAGGTTGCGGTGAGCCAAGATCGTGCCATTACACTCCAGCTTGGGCAACAAGAGTGGAACTCTGTCGCAAGAAAAAAAAAAAAAAAAAAAGAAAAATAATTGGAACTACTTTTTAAACTGTCCCTGCAGGACTGGGTGCATTGGCTCATGCCTGTAATCCCAGCACTCTGGGAGGCCTAGCAGGGCGGATTACTTGAGGTCAGGAGTTTGAGACCAGCCTGGCTAACATGGTGAAACCCTGTCTCTACTAAAAATACAAAAATTAGCCAGGCATGGTGACATACGCCTGTAATCCCAGCTACTTGGGAGGCTGAGGCAGGAGAATTGCTTGAGCCCGGGAGGTGGAGGTTGCAGTGACCCAAGATTGTGCCACTGTACTTCAGCCTGACCCACAGCGAGACTCTGTCTGGAAAAAAAAAAATCTGTCCCTGAAAACACATTATCAGCTGCACCACAAAATCATTTTTCATACTCTACATAGAGGAAATGTTCCTTTTTTCTACAACTTTTTTTTCTCTCTGACTCCATAATGCTTTTCAATTTAATTCCCCTTCCCTGAGCCCTTTAGGACCCCACCTTCCTTTATAGATATGCTAGATGCTAAAAGACCTCAGAAAGAGAAGCTGAGCAGGGTAAGAGAAATAGAGAAAGCAAAACCTTATTCAGAACATATCTGTAACTTATTTACTGCCAATCTAAGAACTCTGTGTTCATAACATCAAACATTATTTTTTTTAAATTTATTTTTATTTGTTTATTTTTTGGAGACAGTGCCTCACTCTGTTGCCCAGGCTGGAATGCAGTGGTGCGACCTTGGCTCGCTGCAACCTCTGCCTCCCAGGTTCAGGTGATTCTTGTGCCTCCTGAATAGCTGGGATTACAGGCACCGGCCACCACGCCTGGCTAATTTTTTGTATTTTAGTAGAGACGAGGTTTCACCATGTTACCCAGCACGGTCTCGAACTCCTGAGCTCAGGCGATTAGCCCACCTTAGCCTCCCAAAGTGCTGGGATTACAGGTATGAACCACCACGGCTGGCCGATCATCACATCCAAATTAGCTGAGAACAGTACAAATCAACTAATTATAAGCTAAAATCATGCTACTCACTTTTAGGAGGCAAAGAAAGAAGCAGCATAAGTGGAAATTAGGGTATGTAAGTCAAATTCAGAAGAACAAGTAAAATTCTATTAGAATAAACACCATTAAAAAGGAAGATTTAGCTGGATGGTGTGATGGAAGTAAGCTATAACAATGCCACTGCACTCCAGGCTAGGCGACAGAGTGAGACCCAAGTATAGAGACTGGCTATGTGTTTTGAAAGAAAATGTTCAACTAAGTAGTGCACAAACTAGGGAAAAAATTCGGGAATAGAACAAGTACACAGTGAAAATTTAGGTATCCTTTCACTCTGTACTCTTGCTCCCCAAGTCTTCTTCCCAGGTAACTTTTAAACAATTTTTTTGTGTATAGTCCAGGGATATTCTGTATATATGCAAGCTATTTCCTTGATAGCCTGATTTCTGATATTTAATTTTTATTATTACTTTTTTTTTTATATAGAGTCTCGCTCTGTCGCCCAGGCTGGAGTTTAATGGTGCAATCTCGGCACACTGCAACCTCTGCCTCCTGGGTTCAACATGTTCTCCTACCTCAGCCTCCCAAGTAGCTGGGATTACAGGTGCCTGCCACCATGCCCGGCTAATTTTTTGTATTTTTAGTAGAGATGGGGTTTTGCCATGTTGGCCAAGCTGGTCTCGAACTCCTGACCTCAAGTAATCCACCCATCTCGGCCTCCCAAAGTGCTGGGATTACGGGCATGAGCCATTGTGCCCAGCATTCTTTTTTTGTTTGTTTGTTTTGTTTGAGATGGAGTTTTGCTCTGTTGCCCAGGCTGGAGTGAAGTGGCACTGTCTTGGCTCACTGCAACCTCTGCCTCCCAGGTTCAAGCGATTCTCCTGCCTTAGCCTCCCAAGTAACTGGGATTACAGGTGCCTGCCACCATGCCTGGCTATTTTTGTGTTTTTTTTTTTAACAGCCAAGGTTTCATCATGTTGGCCAGGCTGGTCTCCAACTCCTGACCTCAAGTGATCTGCCTACCTCAGCCTCCCAAAGTGCTGAGATTACAGATGTGAGCCAGTGCGCCCAGCCTACTTTTAATACTACATGAATATTTCTTTGCGCGCGCGTGTGTGTGTGTGTGTGTGTGTGTGTGAGAGAGAGAGAGAGAGAGAGAGAGAGAGAGAGAGAGAGAGACAGTATCTTGCTCTGACACCCAGGCTGGAGTGCAATGGCATGTTCACAGCTCACTGCAGCCTTGAACTCCAGGGCCCAAGTGATTCTCCCACCACACCCTCCTAAGTAGCTGGGACCACAGGTGTGTATCCCCACACCCAGCTAATTTTAGAGCCCCTCACTTTTGTAGAGACAAGGTGTCTCCTTATGTTGCCCAGGCTGGTCCCAAACTCCTGAATCCTGGCTCAAGCAATCTTCCTGCCTTGGCTTCCCAAAGTAATGGGATTACAGGTGTGAGCCACCTGGCCTAGCCTAATTTTTAAAAATTTTTATTTTTAGTAGAGACAAAGCCTCGATATGTTGCTGAGACTGGTTTCAAACTCCTGGGCTCAAGTGATCCTCCTGCCTCGGCCTCCCAAAGTGCTGGGATTATAGTCATGAGCCACCTAATGACTATAAGCACCTGGCTGTTTTTTTTTTTTTTGCACGACAGGGTCTTGCTGCATCACCCAGTCTGGAGTGCAGTGGTGCAGTCATATCTCCCTGTAACCTCAAAATCCTGGCCTCAAGCCATCCTCCCAGCTCAGCTCCCCAAATAACTAGGACTATAAGCATGCACCGTCACCCCGTTTTTCTTTGTCTTTTTAATGCTATCCTCACCTACTCCCCCGACAAAGGGAGTGTTTATGAAGTGTTGAGGTGAGAAAGTTGTCTAATGGACTGTAGAAGCATATATTTACAATTTTATGGTGACAATTACTCTTCTGCTCTGTCAAATTGATTTACAAAGTCAGGGCATTTTATAATTATAGTTGATGAAATGTGGTTTTAATGGTCATCTATATAAAATGTCATCAAGAATTTACAATTATGAGTCTGATTTTTCGTAGGAAAAAATACAAAACTGAAAGCATGTTAGAAACCAAAAGACCTTAGCAATTACCTAGTTTATCTCCCTGACTTTACAGATGAGTAAATTGGATCTGAGCTTTGATTTAAGAAAGGAAAATGCCTGTATAGTAAATGCTTAATTCATGAAGTTGTCTACCTAGAAAGACTATAATAAGACGCTGAATTCTACAACAGAGTATGATTCAGAATGGTCAAAGTGTGGAGCAATATTTGTGATTCTTCAGGGAAACCTCAAATGCATTCTGAAGGGGAGATACCTTCACTGCCATCAGGCAGCCAATCTGCAAAACCAGTAAGCCAGCCCAGGAAATCAACCCAGCCAGATGTTTGTGCTTCTCCTCAAGAAAAGCCACTCAGGACTCTGTTTCACCAACCTGAGGAAGAGATAGAAGATGGTGGACTCTTCATTCCAATGGGTAGGCTTTTTTCTTTTTAATTAAATGAAACATCTTTATTGAAGTATAATATGTAGAAAACTGCACATATCCTAAGATATCCTGAATTCACTGTATTTTCACAAATTTAATACACCCTTATAAGCAGGACCCAGATAGAAATACAGAATGTTATCAGTACCCAGAAGTCCATCTTGTCTTCCCTTTCAGTTACCCTCTACCCATAGGTTAACCACTATTCTGCTGGCTAGCAGCATATATTGGTTCAATTTTTTTTTTTTTTTCCTTTTGAGACAGAGTTTCGTTCTTGGCTGGAGTACAGGGGCTTGATCTTGGCTCACTGCAACTGTTGCCTCCTGGGTTCAAACGATTCTCCTGCCTCAGCCTCCAGAGTAGCTGGGATTACAGGCGCCTGCCACCACACCCGGCTAATTTTTGTGTTTTTAGTAGAGACTTGGTTTTGCTATGTTGGCCAGGCTGGTCTCGAACTCCTGACTTCAGGTGATCCAACCACCTTGGCTTCACAAAGTGCTGGGATTACAGGTGTGAGCCATTGCGCCCAGCCAGTTGTTTTGTCTTTTTGTCTCTTATTTGAATGGAATGATGTGTGTACATTTTATAACTGCCCTTTTTTTTTTTTTTTTTTAAGACAGGGTCTCACTCTGTCATTCAGACTGGAGTGTAGTGGTGCCATCACAGCTCACTGTGGCCTTGACCTCCTGGGTTAAAGTGATCTTTTTGTCTCAGCCCTGAGTAGCTGGGACTGTAAGCGCGTGCTATCATGGCCAGCTAATATTTTTTTTCTTTTTTTTTGAGACAGAATCTTGCTTTGTTGCCCAGGCTGCTGGAATGCGATGGCTTGATCTCAGCTCACTGCAACCTCCACCTCCTGGGTTCAAGCAATTCTCCTGCTTCAGCATCCCTAGCAGCTGGGATTACAGGCGCCTGCCATCATGCCCAGCTAATTTTTGTTTTTTTTTGTAGAGGCGGGGTTTCACCATGTTGGCCAGGCTGGTCTTGAACTCCTGACCTCAGGTGATCTGTCTGCCTTGGCTTTCCAAAGTGCTGGGATTACGGGCATGAGCCACTGCACCCGGCCCAGCCAGCTAATTAAAAAATTTTTTTTTGTAGAGATGGAGCCCCACTGTATTGCCCAGGTTGGTCTCAAACTCCTGTTCTCAATTGATCCTCTTGCCTCGGCCTCCCAAAGTGTTGGGATGACAGGCGTGAGCCACCGTGCCTGGCATTGTGACTGCGTTTATTCTCTCAATGTTTTTTTTTGTTTGTTTGTTTTTTTGAGACAGAGTCTTGCTCTGTCACCCAGACTGGAGTGCAGTAGTGCTATCTTGGCTCACTGCAGTGTCCACCTCCCGGGTTCCAGCGATTCTGCCTCAGCCTCCTGGGTAGCTGGGATTACAGGCATGGCCACCATGCAGGGCTAATTTTTTTATTTTTAGTAGAGACGGGGTTTCACTATGTTGGCCACGCTGGTCTTGAACTCCTGAGCTCAGGTGATCTGCCAGCCTCGGCCTCCCGATGTGCTGGGATTACAGATGTAAGTCACCATGCCCAGCCTCAATATTGTTTTTTTGTTTTGTTTTGTTTTGTTTTTGTTGTTGAGACAGAGTCTCGCTCTGCCGCCCAGGCTGGAGTGCAGTGGCACAATCTCGGCTCATTGCAAGCTCCGCCTCCTGGGTTCACGCCATTCTCCTGCCTCAGCCTCCCAAGTATCTGGGACTACAGGCGCCTGCCACCACGCCCGGCTAATTTTTTGTATCTTTTAGTAGAAACAGGGTTTCACCGTGTTAGCCAAGATGGTCTCGATCTCCTGACCTCGTGATCCACCTGCCTCGGCCTCCCAAAGTGCTGGGATTACAGGCATGGGCCACCGTGCCCGGCCAACATTGTTTTATATTTATGAAATTCATCCATATTCTTGGATGTACTTGTAGACTGTTCATTTTTATTGCTGTATACCATTCTGTTGTTTGAATATTTTATATATCTTTTTATTTTCTTTTCTTTAATTTTTTTTTTTTTTTTTTTTTTTTTTTTTAAAGAGATAGGTACTGCTCTGTCACCCAGGCTGGAAGTTCAGTGCCATCATCAAAGCTCACTGCAACCTTGAACTCCTAGGTTCAAGTGATCTTCCCACTTCAGCCTCCCCAGTAACTGGGACTTTAGGTGCACACCACAATGCCTGGCTAATTTTCATTTTTATTTTATTATTATTATTTTTTTTAGAGACAGTTTTCACTGTGTTGCCCAGGCTGATTTTGTATTTCTGAGCTCGAGCAGTCCCTCCTTGATCTCTCAAAGTGTGGGATTACAGGCATGAGCCTCCTCACCTGGTCTGCTTTATGTTTTCTTTATCCATTCAACTCTTTGTTTTGTTTTTTCTTTTTGCTTCTTTGTGCCCATTGTTACTCCCAGGCTGGAGTGCAGTGGCGTGATCTCGGCTCACTGCAACCTCTGCAACCTCTGAGTTCAGGCAATTCTCTTGCCTCAGCCTCCCGTGTAGCTGGGATTACAGGCACGTGCCACCGCTCCCCTGCTAATTTTTGTATTTTTAGTAAAGACGGGATTTCATCATGTTGGTCAGTCTGGTCTCTAAGTCCTGACCTCATGATCCACCCGCCTCAGTCTCCCAAAGTGCTGGGATTACAGGCATGAGCCACTGTGCCTGGACTTTTTTTTTTTTTTTTTTTTTTTGATATGGAGTTTTGCTCTCGTCGCCCAGGCTGGAGTGCAATGGTGCAATCTTGGCTCACTGCAACCGCTCCCTCCTGGGTTCAAACGATTCTCCTGCTTCAGTCCCTTTAGCTGGGACTAAAGGCACGTGCCACCACAGCCAGCTAATTTTTTTTTTTTTTTAAGTAGAGGCAGAGTTTCACCATGTTGGTCAGGCTGGTCTTGAACTCGTGACCTCAAATGATCCGCCCACCTTGGCCTCCCAAAGTGCTGGGTCACAGGTGCAAACCACTGCACGTGGCCCCATTCAATTCTTGATGAGCATTTGGATAGTTTTCAGTTGTAGCTACTCTGAGTGGTGCTGCTGTGAATAATCTATAGATTTTTTGCTGAACATGTGTACTTCTTTTTTGTTGGATGGAAATGCTAGCTCATAAGGTTAGGCATCCTTAAAATTCTTTTGAAATACTGAATGTTTTATTGTGAAACATAACACAGACACATGACTAAAGACTTCTTTATTTGATTTAGCAAATGGTTTGTGTGTGTGTGAATCTTGCTCCGTCGCCTAGGCTTGAGTGCAGTGGTGTGATCTCGGCTCACTGCAGCCTCCGTCTCCCGGGTTCAAGTGATTCTTCTGTCTTAGCCTCCTGAGTGATTGGAATTACAGGGGCACACCACCGTGCCCGGCTAATTTTGTATTTTCAGTAGAGACAGGGTTTCACCATGTTGGCCAGGCTGGTCTTGAACTTCTGACCGCAGGTGATCTACCTGCCTTGGGCTCCCAAAGGGCTGGGATTACAGGCAGTGGGCCACTGCGTCCAGCCTCACTTTGGCAAATGATTTTAAAATGAACATGTAATTTTTCTTATTGCATATTCTAGACTTTCATTACTATGTAGGTTATAAGTAGTAGTGATAGTCGACATCTGTGTCTTATCTCTGAACAAAACAGGAAAATGTTCAGTATTCCTTCATTATATATGAGGATAGTTACAGGCTTTCCATAGAAATATTTTTTAGGTTAAGGAAATAATTTTCTTTTCCTAAGTTTTCTGAGTTTTTTCATATATTGAATTTCATCAAATGCTTTTTCCTATCTCTATTAAGATCATGTTTTTTTCCTCTTTCGTTTTGTTAATGTAGTAAGTTACATTAGGTTTATTGAGGTATAAAATAAAATGTATCTGATGAGTTTTGAAAAATATGTACAGTGGGGCCAAGCGTGGTGGCTCACACCTGTAATCTCAGCACTTTGGCAGGCTGAGGCGGGTGGATCACCTGAGGTCGGGAGTTCGAGACCAACCTGAGCAACATGGAGAAACCCGGTCTCTACTAAAAATACAAAATTAGCTGGGCGTGGTGACACACGCCTGTAATCCCAGCTACTCAGGAGGCTGAGGCAGGAGAATCACTTGAACCCAGGAGGCAGAGGTTGCGGTGAGCCAAGATTGCACCATTGCACTCCAGCCTGGGCAACAAGAGCGAAACTCCGTCTCAAAAAAACAAAAGAAAGAAAAATATATACAGTTGTGTTAAGTGCTGCCACAACCAATGTGGAACATTTCTGTCACCCCAAAAGTTGCCTAATTCCCCTTTGCTATCCCCTGTTCTCAAACATTGGCAACCACTGATTTCTTTTCTATTTCCATAGTTTTGCATCTTCTGTGCAAATGTTCTATACTGGGTATACTGTCATATAATATGTGTCCTTTTACATCTGATTTCTTTCACTTGGCATAATGCTTTTGAGATTTATCCACTTTACTGTCAGCTTTCTGGGCTAAGTTCCTGGAGCAGCTATTTTGGAATTCTGGTGATGCTCTTGGTTTATTTGCAGAAGAACAAGACAATGAAGAAAGTGAGAAAAGGAGAAAAAAGAAAAAGGGTACCAAGAGGAAACGAGATGGAAGGGGTCAAGAAGGGACCTTGGCATATGACCTGAAACTGGACGACATGCTTGATCGTACCTTGGAGGATGGTGCCAAGCAGCACAATCTAACAGCGGTCAATGTCCGAAACATCCTTCACGTGAGTAAGACTGGGGCAGCTATGTTAATGGAAGGGAACTTTTTCATGGAAAGCGTATAAAAATACTCAGCAAATTCTTGACTCTTGGCATGTTAAGTACCGATTTTATGGGTTACCTGTGATAGAACATTTTACATTTTTACATATTTAAGATAGCTTTCGCCTTGTACTCAGTACAAGTTTGAAATATGAACACGTTAAAGAAGAATTTAATTGGAAAGATAAACTGTTTCTGTTTTCCACTGATTTACATATTTACTGTATTGTTTAGCAGATTCAGTGTTGATAATGTTCATAGTGGGTTTACTCTTTTGTGGGTCGATATGTCTAAAAAGATGCCCGGTTAATAGTTTATTGCTCTTTGTACATATGTAAATACTTTTCTTGATATGTAGCAACACAGCTATTTGCAGAGCCTTTGCTCTTTGTTACTCTTTCTCTTAAGCACGTAGTTACTTACCTCAGGATCTCTTTTTATGTGAGCCATTCCTGTTCCTAGTAGCAGCTAATGAGATTGGTTCATTTGCTGCTACCTTGTTTGAAACTGTGGTTCTGGCCAAAACTTACTTCTGCCTTCTTTGCTTTCAGTTGCGTTGCTTTATCCCAGTCTGATGCTATTCGAGTATATGGTTCTCATTTATCCTGTACACACGTCTAACAGAGTTACATAGAGAGAAGAGTATTGTCTAGGTGACAAACCCTTGTTGCATAAAGTGTAATTTCATCTTTCTCCAGGAAGTAATCACAAATGAACACGTGGTAGCTATGATGAAAGCAGCCATCAGTGAGTCAGAAGATATGCCAATGTTTGTGAGTAGTTGACTCTTTTAATGTCTTGGAACAGAGTTTTCTGTAAACTGGCTAAGGGTAGGAAGTCACTTAGGAGTTTGTAAACAGTTTGGCAGCTGGGGTGAAAGTTAGCATCCTAAAACACAAGAATTACGTGGTAATTTTTATTTGTTTTAGTTGTTATTTTATTATTATTATTTTTTTAGAGACAAGGTTGTGCTGTGTCACCAAGGCTAGACTCAAACTCCTAAGCTGGACTCAGAGATCCTCCTGGTTCAGCCTCCTGAGTAGCTGGGACTACAGGAGCATGCGACTATGCCCAGCTAATTTAAAACAATTTTTTTTGTAGGGGGTGTCTCACTATGTTGCCCAGGCTGGTCTCAAACTCCTGACCTCAAGCCATCCTCCCACCTAGCCCCTAAAATGCTAGGATTACAGGCATGGGCCACCTCACTGAGCTGTGATTTTTATTGAATATTTCCTTTCTGTTTTTTTCTCCTTAGGAGCCTAAAATGACACGCTCTAAACTGAAGGAAGTAGTGGAAAAAGGAGTGGTAAGCATTCTGTTTTTTTGTTTGTTGGTTGTTTTTAGCTTGGTAAATAGGATCTAATTCACCCATAGGGAAAAATATAGGAAAGATTGTGGTCTGAATTTTCCTCTTTAAAGAAATTTGTAAAAGACAGTAGAATTGTTTCTACATGATCATAAGCTATAATGATCATAGTTTATTTTAGTAGATATGAAGCATTGCTTTTTGGAATTGCTAGAAAGATAACCATTTAGAATGGCTGAAACCGATGGGTGAGACCAGTTTTTCTATTTAGGTTACAACACTTGTTGCAAAGTGTTTAGTATTTTTCATAGTGTGTTCTAGAGGACAGTTCCATAAAAATCACTTTGGTGTGGGATCCCTCAGGCATGCCTATTAAAAATGCATACTTTTGGCCAGGTGTAGTGGCTCATGCCTGTAATCCCAGCACTTTGGGAGGCCAAGGCAGGTGAATCACTTGAAGTCAGGAGTTTGAGACCAGCCTGGCCAACATAGTGAAACTCTGTCTCTACTAAAAATACAAAAATTAGCTGGGCGTGGAGGTGTGCACCTGTAATTCCAGCTGCTTGGGAGGCTGAGGCACAAGAATCGCTTGAACCCGGGAAGCGGAGGTTGCAATGAGTGGAGATTACACCACTGCACTACAGCCTGGGCAACGGAGTGAGACTGTCTCAAAAAAACAAAAACAAAAACAAACAAAATAATCCCCATACTTTTGGGCCCACCCCAGACCAGAGAATCAGGACCCATGGGCAGGGCCTTGGAATATGCATTGGCAAAAACACAACAGTTAATTCTTTTGAATACTAAAGTGTGAGAACCACTTGAAGACATCTGAAGTATTCTGGTACAGCAAGCTCTTTGGTGCTTGGAGCTATGCTATATCCTTCTTAATAAGCACTTGACTAGTTCGTGCTTACAAGACAGTTAATAGTCATGAGGGAGTTCATTATATTTCTGATAGTAAGGAAGATTTGCCTTACAGACTGAAAATACATATCATAGGTTTTATCTGTCCTGGTTTTATTCCTTGGAGCCTGATAGAAGAAACAAGTCTAGGCTGGGCGTCGTGGCTTATACCTGTAATCCCAGCACTTTGGTAGGTGGAGGTAGGAAGATCACTTGAAGCCAGGAGTTCAAGAGCAGCCTGGGCAACATAATGAGACCCTGTCTAGAAAAAAGAGCAAGAAAAGAAATTGGTGTATTCTTCCACATGACTTTTCCTACAGTTGAAAAAAACTAGTATGTCGTTTCATAACATTTTCTTGGCTATACATCCCCCAATTTGTCCCCCCCCTTTTTTTTTGTGATGGAATCTTGCTTCATCATCTAGGCTGGAGTACAGTGGCACGATTCTGGCTCACTGCAACCTCCGCCTCCCAAGTTTAAGTGATTCTTCTACCTCCGCCTCCTGAGTAGCTAGGATTACAGGTGCATGCCACCATGCCCGGCTAATTTTTTTTTTTTTTTTTTTTTTTAATTTTTAGTAGAGATGGGGTTTCACCATGTTGGCCAGCCTGGTTTCAAACTCCTGACCTCAAGTGATCTACCTGCCTTGGCCTCCCAAAGTACTGGGATTACAGGCGGAGCCACTGTGTCTGGCCTTTTTGTTTTGAGATGGAGTCTCGCTCTGTCACCCAGGCTGGAATGCAGTGGTGCAATCTCAGCTCACCGCAACCTCTGGCTCCCAGGTTCAAGTGATTCTCATACCTCATCCTGCTCAGTAGCTGGGATTATAGGCATGCATCACCACACCCGTCTATTTTTTGTATTTTTAGTAGAGGTGGGGTTTCACCATGTTGGCCAGGCTGCTTTTGAATTGGCCCATGTGATCACCCACCTTGGCCTCCCAACATGCTAGGATTACAGGCATGAGCCACTGTGCCCATCCCATATCCTTTTAAAAGTATGCCAAAAGAGCCGGGCACGGTGGCTCACGCCTGTAATCCCAGCACTTTGGGAGGCCGAGGTGGGCGGATCGTTAGGTCAGGAGATTGAGACCATCTTGGCTAACACAATGAAACGCCGTCTCTACTGAAAATACAAAAAATTAACCAGGCGTGGTGGCAGACGCCTGTAGTCCCAGCTACTCTGGAGGCTGAGGCAGGAGAATGGCGTGAACCTGGGAGGCAGAGCTTTCAGTGAGCCAAGATCGCTTCACTGCACTCCAGCCTGGGCAATAGAACGAGACTCCGTCTCAAAAAAAAAAAAAGGTATGCCAAAAGAAGACTACTGAACCAGATGTGGTTTGACTAGTATAGTTAGATTATCTCCACAGTGTTCCAGATTATATATTTATCCTAATGTAGCCTGAGGTCAAATCGACCTTTTTTTGGGCAATCACGTAACTTTTTTTGGTCTGGTTGACTAACCCTCATTGCATAGATTGAAATTTCATCTTTCTCCAGGATGTGATCACAAATGAATAGGTGGTAGCTATAATGAAAGCAACTATCAATGAGGAAGTTCTGTGAAGTCTACTTGACATATAGAATATAATTAACATGGCTGGGCATGGTGGCTCACGCCTGTAATTCCAGCACTTTGGGAGGACGAGGCAGGTGGATCACCTGAGGTCAGGAGTTTGAGACCAGCCTGGCCAACATGGTGAAACCCCGTCTCTACTAAAAATACAACAATTAGCCGGGCGTGGTGGTGGACACCTGTAATCCCAGCTACAGAGACAAGAGGATCGCTTGAACCCAGGAGGGAGAGGTTGCAGTGAGCGGAGATCACACCACTGCACTCCAGCCTGGGTGATAGAGCAAGACTCTGTGTTACAAGAAAAAAAAAAAAGAATATAATTAACATTAATTCTTTATTTGATTTGGTGAAAAAAAATCCAAGGAGATCCAAATTAGGCTCTGGATTGTGTTTATTGGCCATAAATATAGATGTAGAGAAGTTGGGCCATCCAAGACTGTGTAGTTTATGTAGGAGAGCAGGTATTAAAATGTAGGTCTCTTGCTTCTTCTTTCTTTCTTTTTTTTTTTAGAGACTTGCTCTGTTGCTCAGGCTAGAGTACTGTGGCCTAATCATAGCTCACTGCTGCCTTGAACTCCTGTGCTCAAGGGATCCTCCTGCCTCAGCCTGGCAAACAGCTAGGCCTATAGGCATGTGCCACCATGCCCAGCTAATTGGTTTTTTGAAACTTTTTTTGTAGAAATAGGGTCTTGCTGTGTTGCCCAGGCTGATCTCAAACTCCTGGGCTCAAGTGATCCTTCTGTCTTGATCTCCCTACGTGCAGGGATTACAGGCATGAGCCACTATACTTGGCCTTCTTAATTCTTACTAGACTGACTCCAACACACTTCTGAATGCTGGCTTGCCTTTCTAATGGATTTCGCAGTAGGTAGGAAAGGGAAATGGACCTGAATCACATCATTCCCTTTACCCTATATTGGTCCCATCTACACAGCACTAGGTAAATGGTCAGAACATAGCAGGGCTGATTTGATTTGAGAAGCTAAGACTCCTTTTAGAGACAGAACCTAATGGCCAGTTGGCTTTTGTTCATAAGGTGATTTTGGTTGGGTCACAATTAAATGGTCAGGAAATTATACATCCTCAATGGCATTTTATCAGCAATATATAAGAACTTTAAAAAAGTTCTTTAGGCTAGGTGTGGTGTCTCACACCTATAATCCCAGTGATTTGAGAGGCTGAGATGGGAGGATTGTTTGAGCTCAGGAGTTTGAGACCAGCCTAGGAAATCTAATGAGACTCTGTCTCTACAAAAAATTTTAAAAATTAGCGAGGTCTGGTGAGGAGGCATGCCTGTAGTCCTAATCGGGAGGCTGAGGCAGGAGGATCACTTGAGCTCAGGAATTTGAGGCTGCAGTGAGCTCTGATAGTGCTACTGCTCTAGCCTGGGCAACAGGGCAAGATCCTGTCTCAAAACAAAAACAAAAGCAAGAAAAACTTTCCCTCTAGCTCTTATAAAAATTTTCAAACATTCAAAAAGTTGAAAGATTGTTACAATGTATGTAAATTCTAAGAGTAATATTTTGCCATATTTGCTTTATATCTCTGTGTTGTTTTTTCATGTCCTATTGGAAAAATAAGTGTGGACAACTTGAAACTTTGCCCTAAATCCCCTAGTAAAAGTTTTTTTTTTTTTTAAAAAGCAGCTCCATAGGCAGAGCAGGTCTACTCTGTAGGCAGAATAGTCCATAAAAGCTTTTCATGGCTGGCTTTTGGAGTTGTACTTACGGTGGATTTATGTAACTGATTACAAAAATATATTGCTGTTAAAAGACTACTGTAACCAAAATATCTTAGATTTATGTAGTTTAATAGTTTATAAATAGTTTTCACATCTGTTGTTCCATGTGAACCGCAGATGTGATATGAACAAGGTAGACATTGTTTTCTTCATTTATAGAAAGAAGTGAGGTTTACCAGGTGTAAGGCAGAAATGCTCATGACTGTAATAGATTCTTTCCTCGTTTCCTTCTTTCTAACTCTGGCAAATAATTGAGAGTATACCCTCAGGGATAATCAACACCTCTAGATCACTGCAGGTACTTGTTAAGTATATGGCTGTTAGTGATGGTACAGAGGAAGTAAACATGAAAAACAATTATTTCAGTTAAGATAACTTAATTATTTATATTCTTTGTTGGTAGGTAATTCCAACATGGAATATTTCACCAATTAAGAAGGCCAATGAAATTAAGGTAAACTTGGAAGAAATAATTGTTATTCTTTTCCAGAAAGACTTCATCGGTTTTGAAACTTAAGTACTTCCTCTTTAACTTTTCTTGATCAATCTTTGTTTTAATTCCAGCTTTGTTTTTTTCCATTCTATTACTCTTAGGTTTGCATCTCATGGAATTCACTTTAACCTCTGCCTCGTGTTATTTGCTTTAGCTGTACATTATGCTCTTAGGATTTTTTTTTTTTTCCTGCCCTGCTTCTTCCCCTTATTTTCCAAATACGTATGATTTGTGTTTCCCATTAGTTCATTTCTTTCTAATTGTACTAATGTAGCCTCCTCAGTTTGTGGATATCCACCTTGAAGAAGATGATTCCTCAGATGAAGAATACCAGCCGGATGATGAAGAAGAAGATGAAACTGCTGAAGAGGTCAGTGAATGTTAGTTGGTAATGTGTGTCTTAATAAAGCAGGGTATACTTTGCTTCTTTAGTAATGTCACTTGTAGAGATGATTGAGACATGGTTATTTTTCAGCTCATTTCTGTGCTTTAAGCTGTTTCTCTGCCTTTTACACTCCCTTAATTTTATAATCTATTGTATTATGAAATATAGCATAGAAACATGCATAGAATAAAAATGTATAGCTTCGGTTATTATAATGCAAATCCTCATGAAACTCATAGCAAAGTCAAGAACTCTAACATCTAGGACACCCCCGTATACCCTCCCCAGTCATAATCACCTCCCTCCCCTTAAAAATAACTACAACCCTGCCTTTTAGTAATTATTTATTTGCTTTTCTTTATAGTTACATCACCTCAATATGTATCTCTACACACTATAGTTCAATTGTTACTGTTTTGAACTTTATATAAATGGACCCATGCTTATATGTTTTGTTCCTAGCTTTTTAAAATTCAACATTATGCTTTTGAGATTCATTTATACTACTGGTTTTAGCTATACTTTGTTCACTTTCATTGCTGTGTTAATATGTCCTTTGACTTGTTTCTTAATGTATTCTTTAAATTGTTTTGTAAAAGGATTTTAGACCAAGGCCTTACACTTTGTAATATGGATTAGGATAGTGATCTGATCCCTGTCCCCACCTTTAGGATTTTTTTTTTTTTTTTTTTTTTTTAAATCTCCTCTGTTGCCTATGGAGTGCAGTGTGCGATGTTGACTCACTGCAATCTCCACCTCCCAGGTTCAAGCGATTCTTCTGCCTCAGCCTCCTGAGTAGCTGGGATTACAGGCGTGCGCTACCATGCCTGGCTAATTTTTGTATGTTTAGTAGAGACAGGGTTTTGCCATGTTGGCCAGGCTGGTCTTGAACTTCTGACCTCAAGTGATCCACCTGCGTCGACCTTCCAAAGTGCTGGGATAACAGGCATAAGACACTGCACCTGGCCTTTAAGTTTCTATTTAAATTTTATTTTCTGTTACTATAACTAGTTGAATCATGGATTTTTTTTTTTTTTTTTTTTGAGACAGAGTCTCGCTCTGCCACCCAGGCTGGAGTGCAGTGGCGCAATCTTGGCTCACTGCAACCTCCGTCTCCTGGATTTAAGTGATTCTCCTGCCTCAGCCTCCCAAGTAGCTGGGATTACAGGTGCGCACCACCACGCCCGGCTTATTTTTGTATTTTTAATAGAGACGGGTTTTCACCATGTTGGCCAGGCTGAGTGATTGATATTTTATGATTCCTTCTCTTGAGATACTTCAGACTTTGTGGAATGAGGTAGGGGCATAAATATTAAGGTGAACTGGGTTTATTTTGTAGAGCTTATTGGAAAGTGATGTTGAAAGCACTGCTTCATCTCCACGTGGGGCAAAGAAATCCAGATTGAGGCAGTCTTCTGAGATGACTGAAACAGATGAGGAGAGTGGCATATTATCGGAGGTAAATCGGCATCATACAAAAGAGATAAGTTAGACATAACTGTGTAATTAGATTTTTTAACTGTGTAAGTAGATTATCCATGGTGATTCTGTGCTGTGACCATTTTTCAAAGTTTGTTAAGTTAGTAAACAGTTCAGAGAAGGCGAGAGCTCAGTGGTAACTAAAGAACTTTTCTGAGTTCTCATTAAGGGGCCAAAAATGTGCAACTAGTGGAGTTTCTTTCCTCCTACCCTTCTCTTCTTTCATATCTGTGCTTTCTAATGTTGTCCTAAAGCCATTGTTATTAATTTCCCACATTTTAGTAAACTAAGTAGCATTCTGTTGACTTCTCTAGAAATAGGATGAAAACTAATTAGATCAATACACTTGGAGTCTTTGTTTTTATGTACCTCTAACTAGAGAAGAGAAAGGACAGTGGTGTATGGAAAGTCTGCCTCTTTTCCCCTCTTTTTTTCCCTTTTCTTGCTTTCTCTTTCTTTCTTTCTCTTCATTCTTTTCTTTCTCTTCTTTCTCTTCTCTTCTTTCTCTTCTTTCCTTCCTTTCTTTTCCTTTTTTTTTCTTTCTTTTCTTCCCTCCTTCCTTTTTTGATGCAGTCACCTCTTTTAATCAGGTTGAGAAAGTCACCACACCAGCCATCAGGCACATCAGTGCTGAGGTAGTGCCCATGGGGCCCCCGCCCCCTCCAAAGCCGAAACAGACCAGAGATAGTACTTTCATGGAGAAGTTACATGCAGTAGATGAGGAGCTGGCTTCCAGTCCAGTCTGCATGGATTCTTTCCAGGTAAATATTAAAATTGTACTTCACTGAGAAAGTCAAATGGAGTAATCTAGTTGTTGCTCAGGCTGGGAAGGGAGAGGAAAAGATAACTACAACTTTATATAAGTAAGAGTTAGTATTTGATACTTTATATTTGGCTAGTGCTATTTTCTGCTAAGTGACAATGGCAGTTTGGGGTTTTTTTTTTTTGAGACAAGGTATCACCCTGTCACCCAGGCTTGAGTGCAGTGGTGTGATCTTGGCCCACTGCAACCTCCGCCTCCCAGACTCAAGTGATCTTCCCACCTCAGCCTCCCGAGTAGGTGGGACAGGTATATGCCACCACACCCAGCTAATTTTTTAGTTTTTTGTAGAGATGAGGTCTCCCTATATTTTTGCCCAGGCTGGTATCGAACTCCTGGGCTCAAGTGATCCTCCCACCTTAGCCTCTCAAAGTGCTGGGATTACTGGTGTGAACCATCGTGCCTGACTGAGAATGGCAGTTTCTAAGGAAGAAATGAACTGTGTAGCAGAGAGCATTTTAAAATGTAGAACACAGGAAAAAGCTTCACCCAAATTCCCCCAAATTAACCTTTTACCACAATTGCTTGATGGTTCTCTTCCTCTTTCTCTCTGTATATACATACTGGTTTCTGAACCATTTTAGAGTGTGGTTCAGGCATGATGCCATTTTACCTCTACATGCTTTTGTGTATATTTTCTTTTTTTTTTTTTGAGACGGAGTCTCGCTCTGTCGCCCAGGCTGGAGCGCAGTCTTGATCTCGGTTCACTGCAAACTCCACCTCCCAGGTTCATGTCATTCTCCTGACTCAGCCTCCGGAGTAGCTGGGACCACAGGCGCCCACAACCATGCGTGGCTAATTTTTTGTATTTTTAGTAGAGACGGAGTTTCACCGTGTTAGCCAGGATGGTCTCGATCTCCTGACCTCGTGATCCACCCGCCTCTGCCTCCCAAAGTGCTGGGATTACAGGCGTGAGCTACCGTGCCCAGGCTCTTTTGTGTATATTATCTAAAAATGAGTTTATTCTCTTGTATTAACACGGTATAATAGTGTGTTAATCAAAATCAGGATATAGGCTGTGTGCGGTGGCTCATGCCTATAATCCTAGCACTTTGAGAGGCCAAAGTGGGTGAAACACTTGAGGTCAGGAGTTCAAGACCAGCCTGGCCAACATGGTGAAACCCCCATCTCTACTAAAAATACAAAAATTTGCCAAGTGTCGTGGCGCATGCCTATAATCCCAGCTACTCAGAAAGCTGAGGCAGGAGAATTGCTTGAACCCGGGAGGCAGAGGTTGCAGTGAGCTGAGATTGTGCCACTGCACTCCAGCCTGGGCAACGGAGAGAGACTGTCTCAAAATCAATCAATCAATCAATCAGGATACAGTAATATAACATAATATATTAAAGTGCTTATTCTGATTTTATCTGTTGTCCCAATAATGCCCTTTATGTTGGAGGAAAATAAATTTTTTCCCTATTCAGCATTCAACCCTGGATTAAATATCTATTTAATTGTTTTGTTCTTTAGTCTCCTTTAATCTGGAACAGTTTCTCAGTCTTTGTCTTTTATAACCCTGATAGTTTTGAGGAGTATACACCACTTATTTTGTAGAATGTTCTTCAATTTTTATTTTTCTAATATTTCATCTTAATTAGATTCAGGTTTTACACTTTTGTTACAAATACTGGAAGAGTGAGGTATATTTCTTTTTTTTTTTTTTTTTTTTTTTTTTTTGAGACGGAGTCTCCCTCTGTCGCCCAGGCTGGAGTGCAGTGGCCGGATCTCAGCTCACTGCAAGCTCCGCCTCCCGGGTTCAGGCCATTCTCCTGCCTCAGCCTCCCGAGTAGCTGGGACTACAGGCACCCACCACCTCGTCCGGCTAGTTTTTTGTATTTTTTAGTAGCGACGGGGTTTCACCGGTTTAGCCAGGATGGTCTCGATCTCCTGACCTCGTGATCCGCCTGTCTCGGCCTCCCAAAGTGCTGGGATTACAGGCTTGAGCCACCGCGCCCGGCCGAGTGAGGTGTATTTCTCAGTGCATCATATCAGAAGGCACGTGATGTCTGTCATGTTAACTTTCATCACTTGGTTAAGGTTGTACGTGCTTGGTTTTCCTACTGTAAAGTTCTTATTTTCCATTTTTAATTAGTATATATCATATGGGGATATACTTCAAAGCCGAATTCCTTTCTTTCTTGTCTTTTTTTTTTCCTAGATGGAGTCTCACTCTCTTGCCCAGGCTGGAGTGCGGTGGCATGATTTTGGCTCACTGTACCTCTGCTTCCTGGGTTCAAGTGATTCTCCTGCGTTAGCCCCCTGAGTAGCTGAGATTACAGGCGCATGCCACCACACCTGGCTAATTTTTTATATTTTTAGTAGAAACGAGATTTCACTGTGTTAGCCAGGATGATCTCGATCTCCTGACCTTGTGATCCACCTGCCTCGGCCTTCCACAGTGCTGAGATTACATGCGTGAGCCACTGTGCCCGGCCTTCTTTTTTTTTTTTTTTTTTTTTTTTTTTTTGACACAGTCTTGCTCTGTTGCCCAGGCTGGAGTGCAGTGGCGCCATCTTGGTCTCACTGCAACCTCCACTCCCAGGTTCAGTGATTTTTTTTTTTTTTTTTTTTTTTTTTTTTTGAGACATAGTCTTGCTCTGTTGCCCAGGCTAGAGTGCAGTGGCGCCATCTTGGGTCACTGCAACCTCCACTTCCCAGGTTCAAGTGATTCTCCTGCCTCAGCCTCCAGTAGCTGGGATTACAGATGCCTGACACCACACCCAGCTAATTTTTTGTATTTTTAGTAGAGATGGGGTTTCACTACGTTGGCCAGGCTGGTCTTAAACTCCTGACCTCAAGTGATCTGCCCACCTTAGCCTCCCACAATGCTGGAATTACAGACGTGAGCTGATGTGCCCAGCCCAATTAATCAAATTATTTTTCTCACACTAATATTAGCATCTATTGATTATTCTTTCTTTTTTTTTTTTGAGGTAGAGTCTTGCTCTATTGCCCAGGCTGGAGTGCAGTGGTGCAATCTCGGCTCACTGCAATCTCCACCTCCCGGGTTCACGCCATTTTCCTGCCTCAGCCTCCCAGGTAGCTGGGACTACAGGCACCCACCACCACACCCAGCTAATGTTTTGTATTTTTTAGTAGAGACAGTGTTTCACCGTGTTAGCCAGAATGGTCTCAATCTCCTGACCTTGTGATCCACCTGCCTTGACCTCCCAAAGTGCTGGGATTACAGGCGTGAGCCACCGCGCCCGGCCTTAGCCAGTAAATTTTAATGTTCTAAGTTTCCCCTATCATTCTTGCAGGTCAATGAAAAATATGTCTGTCCTAAAATTTTAAAGTATAATATAATAATTTAAAAATAAATCCTAAAATTAAAAAATATAATTAAGGCTGGGCACAGTGCCTCACACCTGTAATCCCAGCACTTTGGGAGGCTGAGGCAGATGGATCACCTGAGGTCAGGAGTTTGAGACCAGCCTGGTCAACATGTTGAAACCCCGTCTCCACAAATACAATTATTAGTTGGGCGTGGTGGCAAGCACCTGTAATCCCAGCTACTCGGGAGGCTGAGGCACAAAAATTGCTTGAACCCGGGAAGCGAAGGTTGCAGTGAGCTGAGATGGCACCACTACACTCCAGCCTGAGTGACAGAGCAAGACTCCATTTCAATTATATACATATATATTTATAATTATATATATATGTAATGTATATAATTAAAAACAGAATATTGAATGGAATGGTCAGTCATTTAATCATCATGCTTTTGAGTGAATAAATCGTAGTAGGGGCAGTAATAGTTTTTTATCTAACCATTTATTTAGCAAACACATACTGAATGGTTGAAGTTGAGAAACCACAGTGCAGAAGACAGAAAAAGTTGTTCTTCATGGAACTTACAGTCTATTGAGGAGAGATAGACTATTAGCATATAAACAAGTAAATTCAGATAGTGGTTAAGTGCTATGAACTAAATTAAAATGAGGAAATATGAAACTTCCTATCAGAGAACTTTAGATAAGTTGATCAAAAAAGACCTCCTTGGCTGTAATTCCATCACTTTGGGAGGCCTAGGCTACAAGATTGCTTGAGGCTAGGAGTTTGAGACCAGGCTGGGCCATATAGTGAGACTCCGACTCTCCAAAAATTCAGAAAAATTATCTAGGTGTGGTGGCGCATGCCTGTATTCTTAGCTGCTTGGTGGCTGAGGCATGAGGATTGATTAAGCCTGGGAGTTTGAGACTACAGTGAGCCATGACTGCACCCCTATACTCCAGCATGGGCAATAGTATGAGAACTTACTTTAAAAAAATAAAAAAAACAGGGTTGGGTTTGGTGGCTCATGTCCGTAATCCCAACACTTTAGGAGGCCAAGGAGAGCGGATCACTTGAACCCAGGAAGTCAAGACAGGCCTGGGTAACATAGTGAGACCTTGTCCCTACAGAAAATACAAAACTTGGCTGGGCATACTGGCACGCACCTTTAGCCTCAGCTACTTGGGATGCTGAGCCTAGGAGGTCGAGGCTGTAGTGAGCTGTGATCATGCTATGGCACTCTAGCCTGGGCGACAGAGCAAGACTGTCAAAAAAAGAAAACAAAACAAAAAGACCCCTTTGAGGCGATGGCATTTAAGCTGAGATCCGAATGAGAGGAAGCCAGGCAAGTGAAAGATCTCGGGAGGAAAAGTGCTCCATATGGAAGAAACAGCACATTCTAAGTCACTAAGATAGAGACAACCTTGTTATGGTTAAGGAACAGAAACTACATGAAGCATGGGATTGTGAAAAAGAGAGGTAGAAATGAGGTCAGAGAGCAAGGCAAGAGCTAGATCATGAAGGTCTTAGGAGACCATGATAAGGAGTATAGATTGTATTTTAAACATTAGAATAGATGCCTAGTGTGGTGGCTCATGCTTGTAATCCCAGCACTTTGGGAGGCCGAGGTGGGTGGATCACCTGAGGTCAGGATTTCGAGACCAGCCTGGCCAACATGGTAAACCCCGTCTCTAACAAAAAATAAAAAAAAATTACCGGATGTGGTGGTGCACACCTGTAATCCCACTTACTTAGGAGGCTGAGGCAGGAGAATTGCTTGAACCTGGCAAGTGGAGGTTGCAGTGAGCTGAGATCACGCCACTGCACTCCAGCCTAGGAAAGAGTGAGACTCCATAAAAAAAAAAAAAAAAAAAAAAAATTAGCAAAGATTTTTGTGATATTTTCAGATTAATGTTAAAAATTCCTTTTGGTTAACATGTGGGAAATGGACTAGAGTAAAGCAAGAGGGTAAACAGAAACCCATTAGGAGGTTGATGCAGTGTAGTCTAGGGGGAGCTTCCCAAATTGATCTACAGATTCAATGCAGTCCCTATCCAAATCCCAGCTACGATTTTTGTAGAAATTAACAACCTAATCCTAAAATGCATGTGGAATTGCACAGGCCCAGAATAGCCAAAACAGTCTTGAAAAAGTACAAAGATGGAGGTCTCTCACTTTCTCCCCCATCTGTACAAAAAATGAAAAAAATTAGCTGAACATGGATCCAGTGGCTCACACCTGTAATCCCAACACTTTGGGAGGCTGAGCAGGTAGATCACCTGGGGCCAGGAGTTCAAGACAAGCCTGACCAACATGGTGAAACCCCATTTCTACTAAAAGTACAAAAATTAGCCAGGTGTGGTGGCACATGCCTGTAGTCCCAGCTATTCGGGAGGCTGAGGCAGGAGAATCGCCTGAACCTGGGAGATGGAGGTTGCAGTGATCCGAGATCGTACCACTGTACTCCAGAAGGGGCGACAGAGCACAACTCCATCTAAAAAAAAAAAAAAAAATTAGCCGAGCATAGTAGTGCATGCCTGTAGTCCCAGCTACTTGGAAGACTGAGGCAGGAGAATTGCTTGAGCCCAGGAGTTCGAAGCTGCAGTCAGCTCTGATTGTGCCAGTGCTCTAGCTTGGATAACAGATCGAGACCCTATCTCTTAAGAAAAAAAAAAAAATGTCCAGGCACGGTGGCTCACAACTGTAATCCGAACACTTTGGGAGGCTGAGGCGGGCAGATCACCTGAGGTCAGGAGTTCGAGACCAGCTTGCTCAACATGGTGACACCCCATCTCTACTAAAAATACAAAAATTAGTCGGATGTAGTGGCCGGCGCCTGTAATCCCAACTACTTGGGAGGCTGAGGCAGGAGAATCGCTTGAACCCAAGAGGCAGAGGTTGCAGTGAGCCGAGATGACACCATTACATTCTAGCCCGGGCAACAAAGCAAGACTCCGTCTCAAAAAAAAAAAAGAGTATTGATAGGTACTACAACAGGGTGGGATTTGAATGCATTATGCTAACTGAAAGCGGCCAGAGACAGGCCACACATTGTATGATTCCATCTAAGTGAAACGTCCAGCATAAACAAATCCATAGAGACAGAAAATAGATTAATGCTTAACGGGGCTGGGAGGAGGGGGAAAGGGAAGCGATTACTAATGGATGGGGTTTCTTTTGGGGGTAATGAAATGTTCTGAAATTAGATAAGGGTGATGGTTGTATAACTCTGTGAATATATGAAAATCCATTCAGTTATGTACTTTAAAAGGGTGAAATTTATGGTATGTGAATTATATCTCAATAAAGCTGTTACAAATTTTCATAAAATGTTGGTTTCAAACTGATGTCATTTATTTTATTTTATTTCTTTTTTATGTCGTGTTTCTTAAAGTTGCTCAAGCAATAATAAATCCAAATTGTTTAGAGGAAAGATCCTGTTACTTAAGCTAAGATGAGAAGAAAAGGAGTGATGATGAGGTTTGGAAACATCACTCACTCAGTGACTTGTTTTTCTTTCTTCATTGTCCAGTCCATGGATGACAGTCTCATTGCATTTCGAACGCGTTCTAAGATGCCCCTAAAAGATGTTCCCCTGGGCCAACTAGAGGCAGAGCTCCAAGCTCCAGACATCACTCCAGATATGTATGACCCCAATACAGCAGATGATGAGGACTGGAAGATGTGGCTAGGGGGACTTATGAATGATGATGTGGGGAATGAAGGTAAGTTTTGGTTTGTGATTTATTATATATAGTGTCCATTATCTGTTGTAAAATTTTTATTATTTGGAAGGGTATAGAATGGAATGGTTTGGGTTAATTAATTTAATTATATTTAACTGATAATTTATCTTAAATCAGTAGTTAATTTTTCTTTTTCTTTCTTTTTTTTTTTTTTTTTTTTTCCATGAGATAGGGTCTCACTCTGTCACCCAGGCTGAGTGCAGTGTTGCAGTCACGGTTCATTGCAGCGTTGACCTCCTGGGCTCAAGCAATCCTCTGCTTTACCCCACTGAGTAGCTGGAACTACAGGCACATGCCACTGTGCCTGACTAATTTTTTTTTTTTTTAGAAATGAGGTCTCACTATGTTGCCCAGGCTGTTCCCAAACTCCTGACCTCAAGCAATCCTCCTACCTTGGCCTCCTGAATGCCAGAATTATAGGCATGAGCCGCCATGCCTGGGCCAGTTCTTAACATTTCTTTCTTTCTTTTTTTTTTTTCTGGGTAAGGAATCTTGAATCCTAAGATTGTTGAATGCTGAGATTTGAATCCCTTGAAACATACATGCATACATAGTTTTGTTGTTGTCTTTTGTTTTTGAGACACCGTCCCAAAACAGGGTGTTGCCCAGGGTGGTTCACAGTGGTGTGACCGTAGCTCACTGTAGCCTTAAACTCCTGGCCTCAAGAGATCCTCCTCAGGTCTCAGCCTCCCAAGTAGCTGAGATTACAGGCATGTAGCACCTTGCCTGGCTAATTTTTAGAAAAATTTCTGGGCCGGGCACGTTGGCTCATGCCTGTAATCCTAGCACTTTGGGAGGCCGAGGCGGGCAGATCACGAGGTCAGGAGATCAAGACCATCCTGGCTAACATGGTGAAACCCCGCCTCTACTAAAAATACAAAAAAAATTAGCCGGCCGTGGTGGCGGGTACCTATAGTCCCAGCTACTCTGGAGGTTGAGGCAGGAGAATGGCGTGAACCTAGGAGGTGGAGCTTGCAGTGAGCCAAGATCGTGCCACTGCACTCCATCCAGGGCGACGAGCAAGACTCCGTCTCAAAAAAAAAAAAAAAAAAAAAAATTTCTGTAGAGAAATGTTGCTCACGCTGATCTTAAACTCTTGCCTCAAGAGATCCTCCCACCTCGGCCTCCCAAAGAGCTAGGATTACAGGCATGAACCATTGTGCCTGGCCCATTCAAAATTTTATATATGATTTCATTAGGGTTCGATGATTTACCAAAAGAACATCGTGTTAGTTAAGGGTCTTCATGATGAAGTGAAAGAATCCTAACTCTATCTTGCTGGGGTAAAATGAAACCAGACTTTGGAAGTGTAGTAAATCAGCAGTGGAACTGAGGGACTGTTAGGATCCCCCTTTCCTCTCTATTTTACTTCCTTTTGTCACTCAGCTCCCTTCTCACATTTATTTTTCTACAAGGTTAGAACTCTGTTCATAAGCACTCCATGATTACTTTTTGCTTTGTCTACACTTCAGGACTCTCCCCTACAAGCTTCACTTATAAAATCCAGGGGAACGAGTCAGATCGGCTTGGTTTGATCTCATGCCCAGTCTCTTGGTGTTGCATGGGATTAATAGGGAGACTGTTCAGCATGGAGTCTGGTGATTGATAGCACCTCATAGAACAGTGTGGTTGAAGTATGTGGTAACCCTAAAGAAGTAATGGTATTATCAGAAATGGGGAAGGAGTAGTGATCAGGTAAAAGTTTGGATGGAAACAGACTAAGGCCAGGTGTGGTGGCTCACGCCTATAATCCCAGCACTTTGGGAGGCCGAGATGGGCGGATCACAAGGTCAAGAGATTGAGACCATCCTGGCCAACATGGTGAAACCCCGTCTCTACTAAAAATACAAAAATTAGCTGGGTGTGGTGGCACATGCCTGTAGTCCCAGCTACTCAGTCGGCTGAGGCAGGAGCATCACTTGAACCTGGTAGGCAGAGGTTGAAGTGAGCCGAGATAACACCACCGCACTCCAGCCTAGCAACAGAGCAAGACTCTATCTCAAAAAAAAGAAAAAAAAAAAATAGACTGAGTAAATGGTTGGGTAGGTAATGCTAGGAGTAAGTCAGGATAAGTGAATGAAAGAAAATAACAAGTCCTTGAATGTACCTTATGATACTATTAATAATTACATTGTATATCATTTGGCAAATGTTTGAGTACTTACTTTATACAAGGCATTGTGCTAGAATCTGTGAGGGATAAAGGAGCATAATCATTTGGTCATGGAATAAAAGCTGTATGAATGACAGGGTGCCTGGCCCATTGTTAGATTCACAATACATTGTATTTGTTTGTGTGTGTGTGTGTGTGTGAGACTGGGTCTCACTCTGTCACACAGGCTGGTGTGCAGTGGTGAGATCTCAGCTCACTGCAGCCTTGACCTCCTCGGCGCAAGCAATTCTCCCACCTCAGCCTCCTGAATAGCTGGGAATACAGGCTTGTGCCATCATGCCCGGCCAATTTTTGTATTTTTTGTAGAGTTGGGGTTTTGCCATGTTGCCCAGGCTGATCTCAAACTCCTGCGCTCAAGCGATCCTCCTACCTCTGCCTCCCAAAGTGCTGAGATTACAGGAGTGAGCCACTGCGCTCAGCCAATACATTGTAAATGAATGAAGCTGTTGAATAAACTCAGATATACCATCAAAGTGGTGTAAATGCTCTTGTAAGGTTTTAGAAGAGGACAGGGTAACTTTTGTTTAGGATGATCAGAGACAGCTACATGAAAGAGCTGGTAATTGGAATGGACCTTGGAAAGATTTTTGAAAACAGTGACAGGGAGGAGAGGAGGTGTCTGAGTAGAAGTGACATGATATACTCTATATGCTGGGTTCTGTAGGATGTATTCTTTCCAGAGTTTTCTCTTTTTTCACTGTTAAAACTGTAAGAATAATATGTTTGGTATAAAGAAATCAAATATTACAAAAATAAAACAATTGAAGCCTTCCCCCCAAGAAAAATGTATGTATCTACATATGTGAAATTTTTAATATGATTTTTTTGGGGTTTATGTGTCTCTTAGAGTTTATTTATTGACACTTCATTTTCCTACCAGTCCTTTCCAAGGCGTTTGACACCAGGGTTCAAGTTTCATTTCCCAGAGGGACCACTGATAATAGTTTGATATGCATCTGTGAGAGTTTCAATGTGTAGTTACTTTTTAGTTTTCCACATTAATGTGGGGATAAGAATAATTAAATTTTAGTTCTAAATTTAAATTTAGAACTTTTCTCAAACATTTAGAAAAGATAGTCCAGGTGTGGTGACTCGTGCCTGTAATCCCAGTACTAGGGGAAGCCAAGGTACGAGGATTGCTTGAGGCCAGGAAGTCGAGACCAGCCTGGGAAACACACTGAGACCTCATTTCTACTTTTTTTTTTTTCTTTCTTCAGATGGGCATGGTGGCGGGCGTCTGTAATCCCAGCTACTTGGTAGGCTGAGGCAGGAGAATTGCTCGAACCTGGGAGGCAGAGTTTGCAGCGAGCCAAGATCGTGCCACTGCACTCCAGCCTGGGTGACGGAGCAAGATTCCGTGTCAAAAAAAAAAAAAAGAAAAGTAAAAAGACTATTAAAAGGGAGAAAAACACTCATATTTCTATTATTCTAACCAATGTTTATTATTTTTGTGTATTTTTAGTTATTGTAAGGATATAATTTTTCATGCTTATGATTATTATGTATGTATTGTACTTTTGTCATACATGTATTGAACATTTATAGAATGGTTACATATTCATATTTTGTATGTATACATGTTGAGTATCACCATCATCCAAAATGCTCAGGACCAGAAATGTTTTGACTTTCAGATTTTTTCAGATATTAGAATATATGTATTATTATACTTAACAGATAAGCATACCAAATTTGAAAATTTGAAATCTGGGCAGGATACAGTGGCTCACGCTGTAATCTCAGCATTTTGGGAGGCCGAGGCATTCAGATCGCTTGAACCCAGGAGTTCAAGACCAGCCTGGTCAACATAGCAAAATCGTGTCTCTACTGAAAATAACAAAAATTACTTGGGCATGGTGGCATGTGCCTGTAATCCCAGCTACTTGGGAGGCTGAGGTGTGACAATCGCCTGAGCCTGGGCAGTCAAGGCTGCAGTGAGCCATGATCATGCCACTGCACTCTGGCCTGGGTGATGGAGTGAGACCCTGTCTCAAAAAAAAGGAAAAAGAAAATTTGAAATCTGAAATGCTCCAGTGGCTATTTCCCTTGAGAGTCATATTTGCACACACGAAGTTTCAGATTTTGGAGTTTTGGATTTGGAATGCTCAACCTGTACTATTTTATACTGAGAAATTATAATTATATAGTCATTCTCTAATTGTTGGGAATTTGGGCCATTCCTTTTTTCACTGTCAGCTTCATTGTACAAGTAGCTTTTATAGAAAGTATTATTTTCATGGAATATACTACACAAAATTAGCTGGGCGTGGTGGCGTTTGCCTGTGGCCCCAGCTACTCAGGAGGCTGAGGTGGGAGGATCACTTGTGCCTGGGAGGGGGAGGTTGCAGTGAGCTACACTCCAGCCTGGGCGACAGAGTGAGACCCTGTCTCAAAAAAAAAAGAAGAAATGTGCTTTATTGGAACAGATTCTTAGAAGTTTGAGAACAAAGTTGGGAATAAGCATCTGAAACACTTTTTTCTCTAGATGAAGCAGATGATGATGATGATCCAGAATATAATTTCCTGGAAGACCTTGATGAACCAGACACAGAGGATTTCCGGACTGACCGGGCAGTGAGAATCACCAGTGAGTCTGTGTTTATTATAAGTCCTGCTCTTGACTGCTTTGCAGCTGCCTTTGTTTACTTTGTAGATTTTTAGGGGTGAAGTTTGCAGCTTATCCATGTTAAGACATTTAAGTTTCCTTTACCCGTTTATTTATCTGATTCTTTAATTTAGGTATATATTCAGAAAGCCCATCAGTTGTTCATTCGTATATCCCATAGTCATGTATTGAGTCTTTACTGTTTGGCAGGGATTGTGCAAGATGAATAAGACATGGCATCTGTGCTTTAGGAGTTCAGCCTAGTAGGGTGATAGAAACAGAAAAAGTTACAATACAAAGTGATAAATGCTGTAACAGGTTTTACATAAGGTATAATAATGATCTAAAAGAGGGTGTCATCTCCTAGTGTGTGATATGGACTAGGATAGGAGAACTTAGGAAAGAATTTGCAGAATGAAATGGTTTTTTATCTTAGTTTTGAAGGAGGAATAGAAATTTGGTGAATAGGGACAGAGAGGAATATTGCAAATAGAAGAGCATCTGCAAACCACAGAATTGCAAAACATCAAAAAAGTATGTTTGGAAAATAGTAAGTACTTTGGTGGTGGTATATGAGTGAAAAGATAGAGAAGTGGTAGATAAAATTAGGTAGTGTTTACATCATGGAGGATCATTAAGCTCTCAAAACGAAGTTTAAGGGCGGGCATGGTGTCTCATGCCTGTAATCCCAGCACTTTGGGAGGTGGAGGCAGGCAGATCACCTGAGGTCAGGAGTTCAAGACCAGCCTGGACAACATGGCAAAACCCTGTCTCTACTAAAAATACAAGAATTAGCCAGGCATGGTAGTAGGTGCCTGTGATTCCAGATACTCGGGAGGCTGAGGCTGAAAAATTGCTTGAACCCAGGCAGGAGAGGTTGCAGTGAGCCGAGATCACGCCAGTACACTCCAGCCTGGGCGACAGAGCGAGTCTCCGCCTGAAAAAAAACGAAAAACAAAAACGAGCTTTAAGGAGTAAATCAGTAGGAACTGATTCGGATTTTAGAAAGATCACTTTGATTTAATACCAGTTTCATGTATTTATTTGTTAGGTAAAGTGAACAAGACTGGAGGTATGGAAAACAATTATGATAACTTGGCTTGAATTATTTGTATAAAAAATTATATTATTGAGCTAGACGTGGTAGCTTACACCTGTAATCCTAGCACTTTGGGAGGCTGGGGCAGGAAGATTGCTTGAGCTCAGGAGTTTGAGACCGGCATAGGCAACATAGAGAAACTTTGTCTCTACTAAATATTTAAGAAATTAGCCAAATGTATTGGCACATACCTGTAGTCCCAGCTACTCAGGAGGCTGGGGCAGGAGGATTGCTTCAGCCCAGGAGGTCAAGGATTCAGCAAACTATGATGGTGCCACTGCACTCCAGCCTTGGTGGCAGAGGGAGACCCTGACTCAAAAAAAAAATTATGTAATTGGCTAGTGTGTCAAGCATAGAAAACATATATTTCATCCTGAAGAAATTCTACCTATGGGGAGAGAGAAAAATAGAAAATATATTTCATAAGCCATTGATTTTTGTTGCATGTATGCATGACCCTGTACTGGAATAATATACATGACATTGAGAAGGTAAGTTACTGGCTCTTGACCAGATTAACGTCTATCTTGGATGTTTATAAAGCAGAGAGCTTTATAGAAACTTGAAACTTTCCTATGTTTTGCATAGGAAAAAAAAAAACAACTTAAGAAACATCTTTTAATATGGTACAGTTGGGGATAAATTGCTTTTTTTTAATAGCAAAAGACTAGGCGGCAGAGAGCTTTATAAACATCCAAGATATACCTAATTAATGCAGTTCTTTATGTAAAGAGAATTATATGTAAATACAATCCTTTAGAACTTACATTTTATTTTATTGCTTTATTGTGCCTTTCACCTTGATTTTAAGATTAGAGTACCATTTCCTTTGTGGAGATCTTTCATTTATTTTGATATATTATGACAAGGATAGTGGAAGCATTGAAAGGAAAGCACCAAGAATTAGAGAAAATATAGAATTTAGACTTTGAGAAAACTGAAAGGAGAATCTAGGAAAGTACAAGAATAACCTAGAAAAATCTAGTGTTGTAGAAACCAAAGGAAGAGTCTTTTGGCTAGGGCACAGTGGCTCATGTCTATAATCCCAGCACTTGAGAGGCCGAGGCAGAAGGATTGCATGAGCCCAGGATTTCAAGACCAGCCTGGGTAAGATAGTGAGACATTGTCTCTATAAAAAAATTTTAAAAATAAAATAAAAATTAGTCAGTCGTGGTGGTGCACGCCCATAGTCCCAGCTACTTGGGAAGCTGAGGTGGGAGGATCACTTGAACCCAGGAAGTGGAGACTGTAGTGAGCAGAGATCATAACACTGTACTCCAACCTGGGTCAGAGCAAGACCTGTTTAAAAAAAAAAGTCTTTCAAGAAGGACAGAATGGTCAGCAGTGTCATATGCAAGTAAAGAAACATCTGCTTAAAGCACAAAAGCAGATCTTTTTATTTATTTATTTACTTACTTACTTATTTATTTGAGACAGAGTCTCGCTCTCTCTCCTAGTCTGGAGTGCAGTGGCGTGATCTCGGCTCACTGCAAGCTCTGCCTCCCGGGTTCATGCCATTCTCCTGCCTCAGCCTCCCGAGTAGCTGGGACTGCAGGCGCCCGCCACCTTGCCCGGCTAATTTTTGTATTTTTAGTAGAGATGGGGTTTCACCGTGTTAGCCAGGATGGTCTCGATCTCCTGACCTCGTGATCCGCCCTCCTTGGCCTCTCAAAGTGCTGGAATTATAGGCGTGAGCCACCGCGCCCAGCCGTAAAAGCAGATCTTAAGTTCAGCTATCATTCTGGAATATATTTGCCTTCCCTTTTTGATTGTTACTTTCTTCAGTTTAAATATAATTTCTCAGGGAGATCCTCCTTCATTAGGATTGATCTTGCTTTGCATTCCCGTACCGCTCTTTTTGTCCTTTTATATACTGTCCTTTTATATACTTTTATGTCCTTTTTTTGTCCTTTTATATATGTCATAATTGCTTATTTAGTATCTGTCTTCTCCCCTAGACTGTGAGGTTCTCAAGAGCTTTGTGGTGTTTACTGCTGTAAAGCTGGTAGCAATATTTGCCAATCAAATAGAGATAGGTAAATGAAGGGCAGCCTTTCTAGTCATACAGTTCTGTGATGATAGTGAAAGCTGGAGTAGAATTTTTAATTTTTTTTTTCTGCCTCTTGTCCTCTTGTGTCTCATTGTCATATTTGATTATAATCCCTTTAAAAGGACTTATTCTTATATGGATAACTAAAATTAAAGAATTAAAAAGCGTAAAAATCACAGAGTTTGAAAAGCTCCATGTGGTCACATTTTTCCGCCCACTTGAGAATTTGTTTACACTTCCTCTGAGGTGGCCTTTTTAGTCTCTGTATACTTTCAGTGACAGGGAGCTCAACAATTCTGCAGATAGTGTATTGTAAACTTGAACACCTCCTCAATTAATACTTTTCTTATTGAACCCAAATCTGAATGCAAATTCAGATACTTTCCTTATTGAACGCAAATTTGAATGCAAAGCAAGAAGATCAATCCTCTTATATTCCTCCTATTTGTCTTTATTTTTTTATTTTCTTTCGAGATGGAGTTTTGCTGTTGTTGCCCAGTCTGGAGTGCAGTGGTGTGATCTTAGCTCACTGCAAACTCCGCTCCTGGGTTCAAGTGTTTCTCCTGCCTCAGCCTCCCGAGTAGCTGGGATTACAGGCACCCGCCACCATGCCCAGCTAATTTTTATATTTTTAGTAGAGACAGGGTTTCACCAGGTTGGCCAGGCTGGTCTTGAACTCCTGACCTCGGGTGATCCACCTGCCTCGGCTTCCCAAAGTTCTGGGATTACAGTCATGAGCCACTGCACCTGGCCTCCTATTTGTCTTTTGCTGTTAAAAAAAGCAATTTATCCCCAACTGTACCATATTAAAAGATGTTTCTTTAGTTGTTGTTTTTTTTTTTTTCCTATGCAAAACATAGGAAAGTTTCAAGTTTCTTCTGCGAGGTTTCTTCTTCTCCAAAGACTTGGTGTCCAAACCTCTCACCACGCATGTTACTCTTCTCTGGATTCTAGCATTTATTTTCTTTAAACTTTTCCCCTGTTATATCTTATTATGAAATTTAAAAATATATATAGAGAAGTTGAAAATTATACAGCTAACATTCGTGTACTCACCACCAACTTTTTTTTTTTTTTTTTGAGATGAAGTCTCACCCTTGTTCCCCAGGCTAGAGTGCAATGGCGTGATCTCGGCTCACTGCAACCTCCACCTCCCAGGTTCAAGTGGTTCTCCTGCCCCAGCCTCCTGAGTAGCTGGGATTAAAAGCCCCTGCCACCATACCCGGCTAATTTTTGTGTTTTTAGTAGAGAAGGGGTTTCACCATGTTGGTTGGCCAGACTTGTCTCGAACTCCTGACCTCAGGTGATCTGCCTGCCTCGGCCTCCGAAAGTGCTGGGATTATGGGCATGAGCCACCATGCCCAGCCTCACCTCCTACTTTCTATAGTTTTTTTTTTTTTTTTTGAGATGGAGTCTCACTCTGTCTCCAGGCTGGAGTGCCGTGGCGCCATCTTGGCTCACTGCAACCTCCGACTCCCTGGTTCAAGCGAATCTCCTGCCTCAGCCTCCCGAGTAGCTGGGATTATAGTCACGCGCCACCATGCCCAGCTAATTTTTGTATTTTTAGTGGAGATGGGGTTTCAGCATGTTGGCCAGGATGGTCTCCATCTCCTGACTTCATGATCCACCCACCTCGGCCTCCCAAAGTGCTGGGATTACAGGCGTGAGCCACCATGCCTGGCCAAATTTTCGATAGGTTTAATATAAACTGTGGGCCTTTCATATGTGCAGGTTTCACATCTACAGATTCAGTCAACCTTGAAAATATTCTGGGAAAAAAAAAATGCAACAGCAGAAAATAATACTGGCTGGGCATAGTGGCTAACATCTGTAATCCCAGCACTGTGGGAGGCTGAGGCAAGAGGATCGCTTTAGCACAGGAGTTTGAGATCAGCCTGGGCAACATACTGAGACCCCATCTCTACAAAAAGTTTAAAAATTATCTGGGTGCAGTGGTGTGTGCTTGTAGTCCCAGCTACTCGGGAGACAGAGTCAGGAGGATCCCTTAAGCCCACAAGTTCAAGGTTGCAGTGAGCTGTGATTATACCACTGCCACTGCACTCCAGCCTGGGTGACAGAGTGAGAGCTTGTCTCAAATAAATAAGTAAAAAATTGTACGGTATAACAACTATTTACATAGCATTTACATTGTATTAGGTGATAAGTAATCTAGAGATAAGGTATACAGGAGGATGTGTGTAGATTATATGCAAATACTACACCATTTTTGTATAAGGGACTTGAGTATCCTCAGATTTTGGTATCCATGGGCTCCTGGAACCAATCTCCACATATACTGAGGGATGACTTTATTTGCCTTATCATGCAGCTGTCCATCTCCCTGTCCATCTGTGGATGCATCTTAGTTTTCAAATGCATTTCAGAGTAAATTATACTTCACTTTTTTTTTTTTTTTTAATTCAAACGAGGTCTATATTGCATGGGTTGGTCTTGAACTCTTGCAGTCTAGTGATCCTCTAGTGATCCTCCCAGCTCAACCTCCTGACCAGCTGACCAGCTGAGATTACAAGCGTGCACAATGGCACAGTGGCACCTGACTATATGTCTTTTTTTTTTTTTTTTTTGGAGACAGAGTCTCACTCTGGAGTGCAGTGGTACGATCTCAGCTCACTGCAACCTCCGCCTCCCAGGTTCAAGAAATTCTCCTGCGTCAGCCTCCAGAGTAGCTGGGATTACAGGCTCGCACCACCATGTCTGTCTAATTTTTGTATTTTTAGTAGAGATGGGGTTTCACCATCTTGGCCAGGCTGGTCTCGAACTCCTGACCTCGTGATCCACCCACCTCTGCCTCCCAAAGTGCTGGGATTACAGGCATGAGCCTATACTTCACTTTTAACCACTTCAGCACGCATATAATGAACTAGAGCTCGATATTTGTTTATGATTTCTTTTTACAGGTGATTTTACACACAGTGTATCACACACATCTTTAGTGTACCATTTAATGAATTTTGACATGTGTGTACCTGTGTGACCCAAATCCCTATCAGGATATAGAATCCTCACCCCAGAAAGTTTCATGCCCCTTCCAAGTCAATCCCCACACCATCCCCTCTGAGGCAACCACTGTTTTGATTTTTTTTCTTAATCACAGGTTAAATTTGCCAGTTTTAGAACCTCACATAAATGGAATCATATAGGATGTGCTTTGTGTGTATGTATGGCTTCTTTCACTCAGCATAATATTTTTGAGATTCATTTCTGTTGCATGTGTCATTAGTTTGTTCCCTTTTATTGTTGACTATAATTTCATTGTGTAAATATACTACAGATTATCTATTTTTGTGTTGATCATCTGGGCTGTTTTTAATTTTGGGTAATGTTGAATAAAGCTGGTCTGAACTATTTTGTGCAAGTCTTTGTGGAAATGCTTCATTTCTGTCTCTCATTTGTCCCCACTTATGAATTAGAAAAGGCATATTTCATTTCTCTTGGGTCAGCTATATAGGAGATAAATCACTGGATCACGGAATAGGTATGTTTAGTTTTATGAGAAATTGCCAGACCATTTTCCAAAGTGGCTTTCCATTTTACGTTCTCATTAGAGTTCCATTTGCTCTACATCCTCAGCAACATTTGGATTTTAATTTTTTTTGTTGGCTGGGCATGGTGGCGCACGCCTGTAATCCCAGCACTTGGGGACACTGAGGCAGGCAGATCACTTGAGGTCAGGAGTTCAAGACCAACCTGGGCAACGTAGTGAAACACTGTCGCTACTAAAACTACAAAAAATTAGCCAGGCGTGGTGAATGAGAATTGCTTGAAGCCCGAAGGTGGAGGTTGCAGTGAGCTGAGATCGCGCCACTGCACTCCAGCCTGGGTGACAAGAGTGAGACTCAGTCTCAAGAAAAAAAAAATTTTTTTTTTAATTAAATTACTTAATTGATTTTGTTTTTGTTTTTGTTTTTTTTTTTCGTGTTTGAGACAGAGTCTCACTCTGTCTCCCAAGCTAGAGTGCAGTGGTATGATCTCCAGTCAGCGTAGCCTCTGCCTCCTGGGTTTAAGCGATTCTTGTGCCTCAGCCTCCCAAGTAGCTGGGATTACAGGAATGTGCAACCACGCCCGACTAATTTATTTATTTATTTATTTATTTATTTTCAAGATGGAATCTTGCCCTGTTGCCCAGGCTGGAGTGCATTAGTGCTTATTGGCTCAGTGTAGCCTCCACTTCCTGGGTTCAAGTGAGTCTCCTGCCTCAGCCTCCCGAGTAGCTGGGATTCCAGGTGTGTGCCACTATGCCTGGCTAATTGTTGTATTTTTAGTAGAGATGGGGTTTCACCATGTTGGTCAGACTGGTATCGAACTCCTAACCTCAGGTGATCTGCCTACCTCGGCTTCCTAAAGTGCTGGAATTAGAGGCGTGAGCCACCACCCCTGGCCTGGATCTTAATTTTTTTAATGTCCTCCTAAGAAGGGCCTTTATAAAATTGTTCACAGTCTTGCAGACATAGTGTTAGACTCTGCTCTAGTTCAGTGATATGTTTGCCTTGTTGGTTATGAGCCCTATTTTGGAGCAGCTGTGTCTTATTGAACCTGAGGTCAACCAAAACTTTTTTTTTTTACCTCAGATTCTTGTACCAACCAAAACTTTCAGGTCTTTTTCACATTATTTTTAAGCCACGTCACCTTTTCATGTAATTGATAAACTGATCTTTAAAACTCTTAACTGTAGGACTGGGCACCATGGCTCACACCTGTAATCCCAACACTTAGGGAGGACAAGGTGGGAGGATCACTGGAACTAAGGAGTTTGAGACCAGCCTGGGCAACATAGCAAGATGCTGTCTCTATTTAAAAAAAACAAAAACAAAAACATTCTTAAACATGGAACTTTAAATTTATCCCTATATGTTCCATCCAGTTGATTTGAGAAAATATAATTTTGAATTTTCCATCAATTGGATTGGCAGTCCCTTTCAGCTTTACATCATCTACAGATTTGTTAAGTATGTTCTCTGGGTCTTTTAAGTCACTGATGGAGTTCTTGAATAGTTCAGATCCAAAGACAGCGTCCTATAAAACCCTGTTGGAAACTTGTCTTTCTCTCTGTCTCTTTTTTTTTAGACAGTATCTTGCTCTGTCGCCTAGGCTGGAATGCAGGGGCATGATCTCAGCACACTGCAGCTTCTGCCTCCTGGACTCGAGATTCTCTCACCTCAGCCTCTTGAGTAGCTGGGACTGCAGGTGTGCACCACCAAGCCCAGCTAAATTTTTTTGTAGAGATATGGTTTCAACATTTTACCCAGGCTAGGAGACTCATCTCTTGATTCCATTCAGTACTGTGTGGATTTGGATAGGCCATCTAATTATAAAATCGTCTAGCTCACATTTTTTCCTGTCTTCTTCCTTTTAGAATTTAAGCTTCATGCGAATAGATCTCTGTCTCTCTCTCTCATTCTCTCATATATCCCAAGCATCTAAAAAGCATAGTGCTCAATAAATGTTTTTTGTTGTTGTTGTTTTTGTTTTTTTTTTTTTTAGACAGGGTCTTGCTCTGTCGCCCAAGCTGGAGTGCAGTGGTGCAATCTCAGCTCACTGCAAGCTCCACCTCCTGGGTTCAAGCCGTTCTCCTGCCTCAGCTTCCCAAGTAGCTGGGACTACAGGCACCCACCACCATGGCCGGCTAATTTTTTGTATTTTTAGTAGAGAGCCTCCCAAAGTGGTGGGATTATAGGCGTGAGCCACCGCACCCGGCCTCAATAAATGTTTTTGAATAAATGAAGGAAGGATAGTCAGTCATAGTGGCTCACGCCTGTAATCCCACCATTTTGGGAGGCCGAGTTGGGCTGATCGCTTGAGCTCAGGAATTCGAGACCAGCCTGGCGAAACCTCATCTCTACAAAATATACAAAAATTAGCTGGGTGTGGCGGCATGCGTCTGTGGTCCCAGCTACCTGGGGAGCTGAGGTGGGAGGATCGATTGGACCAGGGAGGGGATGCAGAGGTTGCAGTGAGCCAAGATCGCGCCACTGAGCTCCAGCCTGAGTGACATAGCGAGACCCATCTCAAAAAAAAGAAGGATAGACATGAAGAATTTGTCATTCCTTGTTGAAAACATTATACATTGTCTTCATGGAATTCTTCCTTATTGTAAAATCTATACCAACAACATACTGTTTGGCTTTCTTGCAGAAAAGGAAGTAAATGAGCTGATGGAAGAGCTGTTTGAAACTGTGAGTAATGATCCTCAAGTGAGAACATGGGATTGTAAGTCAGTTCTCCAGCAAGATGTGTCATTTGGTCTCTGTGATGCTCCTTCTAGGAGAGGGGTCAGACTGAACCAATTCTACTTTTAGTCTACCTGGGAAAGAACATAATGACAAGGGAATTTTTCTAACTGCTAGACTCTTGATTATATACATGTATGTTGTTCTTATTAACATTTTCCTTGAAACTTCTTTTTTTTCGAGGGGGGTTTCACTCCGTCACCCAAGCTAAAGTGCAGTGGTGAAATTACAGCTCACAGCAGCCTTGACCTTCTAGGCTTAAGCAGTCCTCTGTCTAAGCCTCGTGAGTAGCTGGGACATACCAACACACCCAGCTAATTATTTTATTTGTAGAGACAGGGTCTTACCACATTGCCCAGGCTGTTATGGAACTTCTGGGCTCAAGCAATTTTCCTGCATTGGGCCTCCCAAAGTGCTGGAATTATAGGTATGAGCCAGCATGCCTGGCCCCTGGAAAATTTTTGATGACTTCCCCTACTGTCATTTGGTGTGTCCTTAAAGATTGTCAACTAGTTTTAAACTACTTTGTGCACAAATAATTACTTTTTTCATAAATTTGTCTCAAAAGGTATTTCTCTTTAAGAGAGTGATCATTTTGAGGCTGGGTGTGGTGGCTCACGCCTGTAATCCCAGCACTTTGGGAGGCCACAGCGGGTGGATCATCTGAGGTCAGGAGTTTGAGACCAGCCTGGCCAACATGATGAAGCCTTGTCTCTACTAAAAGTACAAAAATTAGGCATGGTGGCGGGCACCTGTAGTCACAGTTACTGCAGAGGCTGAGGCAGGAAAATCGCTTGAATCTGGGAGGTGGAGGTTACAGTAAGCCCAGATCGTGCCACTGCACTCCAGCCTGGGCAATAGAGCAAGACTGCAAGACTCCGTCTCAAAAAAAAAAAAAAGAGAGAGATTGATAATTTTGAGTTATCCATGCTCTGTCCTTACTGTCACGAGTTGACTGGTTGAACGACTTCTTTCTTGGCATAATAGCCATCCTAAGTGTGGGTTTGTGGGAGTCCTGAAGTGAGAAGGTTCTGACATTAGCTCTTTCTGGGTGCCAGCATTATTAAAGTCTTGTAATCTGTAGTTTTCACTCTTCCTTCCCAATACTGGAGCAACATTCGAGACCCATTCCCCAGGAAAACCCTCTCTTCCCTTTGCCCACAGTTCCAAGATGAGATGGGATTCTCCAACATGGAAGATGATGGCCCAGAAGAGGAGGAGCGTGTGGCTGAGCCTCGACCTAACTTCAACACTCCTCAAGCTCTACGGTAGGCTAGCTGAAAGACCTTGAGATTTGGAATAGAGGAAAAGTTTATTTCTGAAAAGGTTTTCAGAAGTTGCAGTTAACAATTTTTCATCCCCAACCAGCTTCTGTTACTGATGTAAGGATGCAGAGCCCTGTCAGGAGTTAGGTGTCAAGTGAAGTCTCCTTGGTATGGGGCAGTGCAGCTGTAGGCCAAGCTGTATCTGTTTGGGAAGGGAGAAAAAACAGTAGCTGGCATCCATATCCACTTCTCCAGGTGAGTGGTGCTGGAGAGGTATGTAGGAATTTATGTGGCCAGACACACAAACTACCCCATATTGTAATATCGAGTCTGTCCCTTTCGTTCTTTTTATGTGCCATTAATATCTGCTAAATGTGACTGAAACTTTGTTAGTCACCTAGGCATTAGTGGAGCAAACCCTGAAGCACCTGCAGTAAGGAGTCTGAAACGTATGTGCTGACCTTTTTGCCTGAAGTTGGCACTTGTGTTACAGCATCCAGAAAGTAGAGGCTTTATTTTTTTCCTCATTTTCTGGTGGATTTGCATCTGCACTTTATTCTATTGTTATCCATTGCGAGTAGCAGCATATAGTCATTAGATGGATAGCTAGAGATCAGGATGCATTTTGTGCCGTAAGTGGAACTAAGCAAAGAGAATAGACCCTCTTAATTAGTCATGTGTCCTAACAGCATTACTACCCAAGTAGAAAGCTTGGGATTTATCTGAAAGCTAGACCTTTAGGGATTTTCCAGTTTAGTAAAAAAAAGATAAGATATGCCAACCAATGTCTAAAAACTAGAAATACCGGTAATTCTCCATTACAACAAATATCACAGTACAACTACATCAAAAACCTCAGGATTGCTAAGTCAGTATTTGACCCATTATTTTAAGTTACAGCTCATAGAACAAAATTCCATTCTGCTATGAATGGAACCATTCATCCTGGGAACATATAATGGGATTTGATCTATAAACGTGTTTTGGTTCTGCTGATCAACTCTTTGTAACTTCTTAAAATTTGGGAAGTATAGGCCGGGCGTGGTGGCTCACGCCTGTAATCCCAGCACTTTGGGAGCCCGAGGCAGGGGGATCACCTCAGGTCAGGAGTCGAGACCAGTCTGGCCAACATGGTGAAACCACATCTCTACTAAAAATACAAAAATTAGTCAGGCATGGTGGCGGGTGTCTGTAATCTCAGCTACTCGGGAGGCTGAGGCAGGAGAATCGCTTGAACCCGGAAAGCGGAGGTTGCAGTGAGCCGAAATGACAGACTGCGTGTCAGAGAGAGACTCTGTCTCAAAAAAATAAATAAAATTTGTAAAGTATAGAAATAATTTAAAACTCCTGTTAGAATTCAGTTACCTTCTGGTATTCAGTAGAATAGTCATATATCATCTCATGGTGATACGTTCTGTGAAATGTTATCATTAAACGATTTCATCATTGTGTAAATGTAGAAAGCACTTGGATAAACCTTGATGGTTTAGCCTACAGCATACCTAGGCTATACAGTATAACATATTGCTCCCGGGCCACAAACCTGTATAGCATGTTATTCTGCTGAATACTGTAGGCAGTTGTAACACAGTGGTAAGTACGTATGTATGTAAACATAGAAAAGATACAATAATCTTACGGAACCACCTCTGAATATGTGGTTCATTGTTGACTGAAACATTATGTGGCACATGACTGTACTTGGGCAGTTGCTGCTTTTCTTTCGGTTGCAAATGCAAACCTGTTATAATCTTTGACTCAATAAAGCATCCTGGATTCTGTAAGTCCATAGATAGTAAAAACATCTTAAAACACAATAAAGAAGAGAGAAAAAAAAAGAACAAAACAAAAACCCTGGGAAAGTGAGTTATCTGTGCCTCCCTTATCAGTTATGCAAGTAATATTTATTAAAAGCAGGTGCAAGGCCACGTGTGGTGACTCACACCTGTAATCCCAGCATTTTGGGAGGCTGAGGCGGGCAAAACACCTGAGGTCAGGAGTTCCAGACCAGCCTGGTCAACATGGTAAAACCCCATCTCTACTAAAAATATAAAAATTAGCTGGGTGTGGTGGCACGTGCCTGTAATCCCAGCTACTTGGGAGGCTGAGGCAGGAGAAACGCTTGAACCTGGGAGTCAGAGGTTGCACTGAGCCGAGATTGTGCCACTGCACTCCAGCCTGGGTGACAGAGTGAAACTGCCTCTCAAAAAATAATAATAGGCCGGATGTGGTGGCTCACACCAGTAATCCCAGCACTTCGGGAGGCCAGGGCGGTCAGATCACGAGGTCAGGAGTTTGAGACCAGCCTGACCAACATGGTGAAACCCTGTCTCTACTAAAAATATAAAAATTAGCCAGGCATGGTAGCACACACCTGTAATCCCAGCTACTCAGGAGGCTGAGGCAGGAGAATCACTTGAACCCAGGAGGCAGAATTTGCAATGAGCCAGTATCACGCCACTGCACTCCGTCCTGGGAGACAGAGACACCGTCTCAAAAAAGAAAGAAAGAAAAATAAAACCAATAATAATAATTATAGGTCGGGCGCAGTGGCTCGCGCCTGTAATCCCAGCACTTTGGGATGTTGAAGCGGGCATATTACCTGAGGTCAGGAGTTTGAGACCACCCTGGCCAACATAGCAAAACCCTGTCTCTACTAAAAATGCAAAAAAATTAGTCGGACGTGTTGGCAGGTGCCTGTAATCCCCGCTACTTGGGAGGCTGAGGCAGCAGAATCGCTTGAACCTGGGAGGCAGAGGTTGCAGCGAGGCAAGACCGCTCCATTGCAGTCCAGCCTGGGCAACATGAACGAAACTCCATCTCAAAAAAAAAAAAAAAATAATAATAATAAATACAACTACGTGCAGGCTATATTTCCATTACCTACTTTTTTATGCTTCTGGGCTTCTGTTCCTTGAGTGGTAGTAGTGCAGGTGATCAGGTTTTCAGTTCTCAGAAGATTGTATAAGACAGTCCCACAGGCTTTAGGTTTTTACCCTGTGCTGTCCAAACCCACAGTAAATACTATAAAAGAAAGCATAATTTTTATCCCAAATAGATAAATGATAACTTTTTAAAATTAACTATTGAAAACATTTATCTATTGCTGTAATATGGGAGATTACTTGAAATATGATAACCTGCTCTTTGTAGCTACATGAACAGGTCTTATCCTGATTGCATAGGGTATCAGCACGTGCTTAATCGTTTAAGTATCTTATTCTCCTTTTATTTCAGAACTGTCATGCTGGGTTTTTCCATTTTTGCTTCAGCCCTGGAAACAGTCTCTCAGGAGGGTAGGGGTGGGAAGTTAGAGTTAGGAACCTTAGAAGAGGAATTTATTTGTTTATTTATTTTATTCTATTTATTCTATTTTATTTTATTTTATTTTATTTTATTTTATTTTATTTTATTTTTATTTTATTTTATTTTATTGGAACAGAGTCTTGCTCTGTTGCCCAGGCTGGAGTGCAGTGGCGCGATCTTGGCTCACTGCAACCTCTGCCTCCTGGGTTCAAGTGATTCTCCTGCCTCAGCCTCGTGAGTAGCTGGGATTATAGGCACGCATCACCACAGCTGGCTAATTTTTGTATTTTTTCATAGAGACAGGGTTTCACCATGTTAGCCAGGCCAGTCTCAAACCACTGATCTCAAGTGATCCACCTGCCTTGGCCTCCCAAATTGCTGGGATTACAGGCGTGAGCCACCACGCCCGACTGTTTCTTGACCTTTTAATAATTGTCATTCTGACTGGCAAGCCTTGCTTTCTTAAACAAGTCAAAAATCTTCTAGCATGAAGCAGGAAAAGGATATACTAAAATAAGTAATGGTAGTTCACATGAACAGAACTGAGTGGTTAGTTCAAATATTACCCTACTGCTCTCCATGAAGGTATTTGCTTTTAGCCCTTTAAATTCCTCTTCCTAGCTGGGTGCAGTGGCTCCTGCCTGTAATCCCAGCAATTTGGGAGTTCGAGGTGGGTGGATCACTTGAGGTCAGTCATTCGAGACTAGCCTGGCTAACGTGGTGAAACCCTGTCTCTACAAAAAATACAAAGATTAGCTGGCCGTGGTGATGCATGCCTGTAATCCCAGCTACTCAGGAGGCTGAGGCAGGAGAATCACTTGAACCCGGGAGGCAGAGGTTGCAGTGAGCTGAGATCATGCCACTGCACTCCAGCCTGGGCAACAGAGCAAGACTCCATTTCAAAAAATAAATAAATAAATAAATAAGCAAATAAATTCCTCTTCTAAGGTTCCAAACCCTAATTTCCCACCCCTACCCTCCTGAGAGACTTTTTTCAAAAACCTAGCATGTCAGTTCTGAAGTAAAAGGAGAATAAGATACTTAAGTAATTAAGCATGTGCTGATACCATATGCAGTCAGGATAAGATCTTTTGGCTGGACGTGGTGTCTCACGCCTGTAATCCCACCACTTTGGGAGGCCGAGGCAGGTGGATCATGAGGTCAAGAGATCAAGACCATCCTGGCCAACATGGTGAAACCCCATCTCTACTAAAAATACAAAAATTAGCTGGAGTGTGGTGGTGCATGCCTGTAGTCCCAGCGACTCGCGAGGCTGAGGCAGGAGAATCACTTGAACCAGGGAGGCGGAGGTTGCAGTGAGCCGAGATCATGCCACTATACTCCAGCTTGGCATCCGAGTGAGACTTCGTCTCAAAAGAAAAAAAAATATGTTTATGTAGCTACAACAAGCAGGTTCTCATATTTCAAGGAATCCCCAATATTATAGCAATAGATAAATAAGAAAATGTAGTATTCCACCATGGAATACTATACAGCCATAAAAAGGTATGATATCACGTCCCTTTCAGGGACATGGATGGAGGTGAAGCCATCAGCAAACTAACATAATAACAGAAAAACAATACCGCATGTTCTCACTTATAAGTAGGAACTGAACAATGAGAACACATGGACGCAGGGTGGGGAACAGCACACACTGGGGCCTGTTGGGGAGGTGGGGGAAGGGAGAGGATCAGGATAAACTGCTGATGCAGCTGGGCTTAATACCAAGGTGATGGGTTGATAGGTGCAGCAAAACACCAAGGCACATGTTTACCTGTGTAACAAAACTGCGTGTCCTGCACATGTATTCCGAAACTTAAAATTTTGAAGGCCAGCCATGGTGGCTTACGCCTGTAATCCCAGCACTTTGGGAAGCTGAGATGAGTGGATCATGAGGTCAGGAAATAGAGACTGTCCTGGCTAACACAGTGAAATCCCATCTCTACTAAAAATACAAAAAATTAGCTGGATGTGGTGGCACGTGCCTATAGTCCCAGCTACTTGAGAGGGTGAGGCAGGAGAATCGCTTGAACCCGGGAGGCAGAGGTTGCAGTGAGCTGAGATCGCACCACTGCATTCCAGCCTGGGCGACAGAGCGAGACTGTCACAAAAAATATATATATATATTAAATTTTGAAAAAAAAATGCAAGGCAGTGCAGTCTGAGTGGATAGCGAAATGGGACAAGCTGAACCTGGGATGGGAATAACAAGTAAATGAGGGAAGAAATGAGAATGATGAGTTCCCACCAGCTCCTTGGCTGCTTTCTTACCCATATATTTCTCTGTTCCTAGCATTTTGATTTTTTCTTCATTTGTATATTATTTAGAAGAGGAATTGTAGAGGAATGGGATGGAATGTAATATAGAATCATCATATTTGATGCATGCTAACTACTTTAGGAAAAGATTTGTATAAGGCTGGGAGTTTGATTGTTGACTAAAGTGAGTTGTCAGATTAGAAGACAATGAAAATTGTTCAGGTTCTTTGCTCATCATTAGAACAAATTGGATGTGTTGTGGACCTAGGGATGTTGTGGACCTAGGGAAACACTCAAATTCAGTCATCTCCCTGTTGGGAATAGGTTTGAGGAACCACTGGCCAACTTGCTAAATGAACAACATCGGACAGTGAAGGAGCTATTTGAACAGCTGAAAATGAAGAAATCTTCAGCCAAACAGCTGCAGGAAGTAGAGAAGGTTAAACCCCAGAGTGAGAAAGTTCATCAGACTCTGATTCTGGACCCAGCACAGAGGAAGAGACTCCAGCAGCAGATGCAGCAGGTAACACTTTTCTTGGTCATGTTAATATTGGATTATACCAAGGCCTAACTCTGAGGCCAGAAATTAACAGCTTTGTAAAAGTCAGAGATAGTTACCTTACCACCTGCTAAAACCATAGTATCTTCACATCTAGGAGCTCGAGAAGTCATCATGTTCATGCCCTATGGCTCAAGGAAGAGAGCATACAAGGATACTAATGGTATTCAGAAATACAGATTTCAAAGAGTCCTTAGTAATCTATTCTGAAATTTAACAAACTTCACTGTGAGAAGTAGGTTTTTTTTTCCTTTTTCTAATCTCAGTCTCTCTGGATTAAGGTTAAGCTTCCTCTCCTTCTGTCATTTTGTTCAAGGGAACATGTCTGAGAGATTTATGCCAAGATTCTATGTTGTTCTCATACTCCTTTCAGAAAGCAAAATATATGTGATAAAGTTGCAAACATCTTAGTTATTGTCTCTCTAGGGGCTGGGTTATGGTGACTCACACCTGTAAACCCAGCACTTTGGGAGACTGAAGTGGGAGGATTGCTTGAGCCAGGGAGTTCAAGAGCAACCTGGGCAACATAGTGCGACCCTGTCTCTACAAAAAATAAAAATACATTAGCGAGGCATGGTGCCATGCACCTGTGGTCCCAGCTACTCAGGAGGCTGAGGTGGGAGGATTGCTTGAGCACAGGAGGTTGAGAGGGCGTGGAGCCATGATTGCATCACTGCACAGCAGCCTAGGTGACAGAGAGATCCTGTCTCCAAGAAGAAAAAAAAAAAAAAAAATCTCTCTGAGTTCCTGAAATGACAATGTGGCAACATGTCACTTCATTATTTTCTTTCCATCCCCAGCACGTTCAGCTCTTGACCCAAATCCACCTTCTTGCCACCTGCAACCCCAGTCTCAGTCCGGAGGCCAGTACCACCAGGATATTTCTTGTAAGTTTCCAAATATCCCTAACTCTAAAGACTAGAGTGTGAAATTAGCTTGGCAGGTTATTTCTCATAGTTATTCACTAATCGTAATCTATATTTATTCTTCTCTCTTGGGTATTTTTGATTGCTTTGCCTACTTTCTGTTAAGGCTTCCTGTGTTTGCTGAGAGAACATAAGCCACTGATTCCCATGAAAGGACAAGGAGTGTATTCAATTTTCTTAGTACTGTCCTTCTGATATTTTTATTGAATCCTCCTTATCTTTAGATCCAACCTAACTTCTTAGGTTTTTTGGTACCACTGTTCCTTTTATAGATGTTGAGACTGGGCACAGTGGCTATCCCTGTAATCCCAGCACTTTGGGAGGCCAAAGCAGGCAGATTGCGTGACCCCAGTAGTTCGAGACCAGCTGGGGCAACATGCCGAAAGCCCATCTCTACAAAATACAAAAATTAGCCAGATGTGGTGCGTACCTGTAGTCTCAGCTACTTGGGAGGCAGAGATGGAAGGATAGCTTGAGCCTGGGAGGTAGGGGTTGCAGTGAGCTGAGATCGCGCCACTGCACTCCAGCCTGGGCGGCAGAGTGAGATCCAGTCTCAAAATAAATAATAAAATAAAAGTAATAGTCCTAATTCTTGGCTGGGTGCAGTGACTCATGCCTGTAATCTCAGCACCTTGGTAGGCTGAAGTGGCTGGATCGCTTGAGGTCAGGAGTTCGAGAACAGCTTGACCAACATGGTAAAATCCGGTCTCTACTTAAAATACAAAAAATAGCCGGGCATGCTGGAGGGCACCTGTAATTAATCCCAGCTACTTGGGAGGTGGATGCAGAAGAATCGCTTGAGCCTGGGAAGTGGAGACTTCAGTGAGTCAAGATCGTACCATTACACTCCAGCCTGGGCGACAGAGTGAGACTCCGTCTCAAAAAAAAAAAAAAAAAAAAAAAAAAAGAATCCTCATTCTTCATAATCTTCATTCTAGTTCGGGAACTAGACCGTATATTCCTTAGTGTTTCTCACTAAGTCTTAAAGTAAACCAAGAATACAATCCCTGAATATCTGGGAACTCAGGTGTAATCTTCACAGAGTAGTTTATTGTGAAAGACTTTATGATGATTTTTACCTGTTTTTATCCTGTAGTAGGAAGGTCAGCTTCTCATTTAGATTCTGAAGGCTACTGGTATTAATTGTCTGGAATTGTCTTAGATCTTCTTGTGTCCTGTTTTCCCAGAAAGAGCTGGGAACCTTTGCTCAAAGCTCCATCGCCCTTCACCATCAGTACAATCCCAAGTTTCAGACCCTGTTCCAACCCTGTAACTTGATGGGAGCTATGCAGCTTATTGAAGACTTCAGCACACATGTCAGCATTGACTGCAGCCCTCATAAAACTGTCAAGAAGACTGGTAGGAGACAGATGTGTCAGCTTTAAGTTTTTACTTGCGGTGAGAGGTGGTGGGAATCTTATCCCATAGATAACTTCCTAGGATACTTGCCTAGGAATGGAGGACACAGGACATTTGTAATTTCTTCCTTCTCTCTTTTATCCTCCCTTCGTACTCATTATCCGAGTTCTAGAATTACATGATAATCTCTGGGCCTGGGTAAGGCATGGAGGCAGTGGACAGTATAGGAATATGGGAGGTAGAGATCTGAAGCTCAGTGCTAAGAATTGGACTACAGCAATATGAGGGGTATTAGGAGTCAGATCAAAATAAACTGGGGCCTGGTAAAGATGAAAGTCAGGTAGTAAAGTTTGGTCATGTTTAGCTTTTTACTGTCTTCAACTAAGGCCAGGTGCTGTGGCTCACACCTATAATCCTAGTACTTTGGGAGGCCGAGTCAGGGGGAACACAAGGTCAGGAGATTGAGACCATACTGGCTCACACAGTGAAACCCCGTCTCTACTAAAAATACAAAAATTAGCCAGGCGTGGGGGCACGCGCCTGTAGTCCCAGCTACTTGGGAGGCTGAGGCAGGAAAATTGCTTGAACCCAGGAGGCAGAGGTTGCAGTGAGTGAGATCGCGTCATTGCCCTCCAGCCTGGGCGACAGAGCGAGACTGCATCTCAAAAAAAAAAAAAAAAAAAAATCAACTAACTTTATTTACCATACTGACTGCAGCGTAAGTGATATCTCCATTCTGAATGAAATGTTGACTTGGGAGTTACGCATAAATTAGAGATTATACATTTGCCGTGTTCAGTATTGTAAAGAAATTTGCAGGTTTAGATTCTACCTTGCGTTGGTTTAGTATTTTTTGAGAAAATATTTGCTATTTACTTAAGCCAAATATTTGCTTCTGATTTGTTTCCTGATTTAGCAAATTAGTTGTGGTTTGTTCTGGATTTGTGTTTGTCTTTGGATTCTATTTTAAATCCCTGAGTCTTATCGTTAAGTTGAATATAGTTGTATTTAAGTGTATTATATCGTAGACACAGATCCCAAACTACTTGAATAGCTGTATTAACTGATATGAAATGGTGATGAAAACTTGATTTAACACCAAATTATAATAATATCTTACACATCTGTTGACCTGTTGCTTTCTTCTGGGGATATAAAAATAACACTTACGGAAGGAGAAATACGGATGTAGTAGTTTTGTCTCTAGAAATGCAGAGGTTCCTGAAAGTGAGAGGCTGAGAGAGGGAGAGAGAAATGAATGAGACTGAATTGTCTCCTTCCTTTTATGGTTCTTTTGTTCCCAACCTCAGGAGGAATCTGGGAGAACTTAATGAAAGTTAAGTAAGAATCAAATAAAAGTAAAATTTGGAATACCAGATTTGTGAGGGAGATTAAAGAAGTTGGAATCTTATTCTGGAAGAAAGAAAGCATTGTTGAAGGTCTCTTATCCTTCGAGGATTTGAGGGGGGAAGGAGGTAAAACATTTTTGAGCATACACTATTGCCAGCTCCTTTTATTACTAGGTGCTTTTTAAGTGTTTGTTTTACTTAGTGAATAAAGTGTTCCATGTAAGAAAGAATAAGAGTCAACTTTTATTGCCATTGAATGGGACTCCCTTTAGATACAATGTTAGCTTAAGAAAGACTGTGGAAACTCTTTGGGGAATGGTAGGCAGATGGGAGGGAAATCCAGTTAGATAAGGACAGCTCTACCTAAATGCAAAAATGCATTCACGGGCTTTTTGAAGCCCTGTTTTGTCTTAGAAGTTGATTTATTCGAGATTTATTTTCTTATAGCCAATGAATTTCCCTGTTTGCCAAAGCAAGTGGCTTGGATTCTGGCCACAAGCAAGGTTTTCATGTATCCAGAGTTACTTCCAGTGTGTTCCCTGAAGGCAAAGAATCCCCAGGATAAGATCGTCTTCACCAAGGCTGAGGACAAGTAAGTGTTTACTCTGGGGGATCAAAACAGCAGAATATCCCAAGGAGAAGACATAGTTCCTTTGAGGAGTTTAGGGGAAGTAAGATAATAATAAAACATGGACACAAAAGACAAAAGGAAGAGCAGTATAGATGAGCAGAGCCCTCTAGGACATGCTTGTTCTAGCAGTGCCAAATACTGCTTTTTGGGGGAATGTCACACACATTTTTAAAGCATTTTAGACCGGAGATGGTGGCTCCCACCTGTAGTCCCAACACTTTGAAAGGCCAAGGCAGGAAGTTCGCTTTTATTTTATTTTATGTTATTTATTTATGTAGAGACAGGATCTTACTCTGTCACCCAGGCAGTCACAGCTCACTGCAGCCTTGAACTCCTGAGATCAAGTGATCCTTGCACCTCAGCCTCCATGGAGCAGCTGGGACCCCAGGCGTGTGCCACCATACATGACTCATTTTTTTGTGTGTGCAGATGAGGGTCTCTCTGTGTTATCCAGGCATCTTTCAAACTCCTGGACTCAAGGCATCCTCCCACCTTGGCCTCCCAAAGTGCTGGGATTACAGGCATGAGCCACCACACCCACCAGATTATGAACATTTTTATGGCCCTTTTTGTGTATTGCCACACTGTTATCAGCACATATGTATATATGCAACCACGATTATCTATGTTGTTAGAGGGTAGTATTGGTGCCGGTTTAAGTTGTCTGGCAGGGTACCTATTCATTTTGTATTAGTTTTACTAGGATCATTCTCCTTCCTTTGTATTCTCTTTGAAGTTCCTTTGTGTTGTTAGTATACAGCTCATCATGATCTCATGTTTATTAATGATTTATGCCTAGTTTCTTATGTTCCCACCTAATTGTGAAGTATTTGATTTTTTTTAAATGGAGTCTCACTCTTGTCACCCAGGCTGCACTGCAGTGGTGCGATCTTGGCTCACTGCAACCTTCGCCCTCTGGGTTCAAGCAATTCTCCTGCCGAAGTAGCTGGGATTACAGGTGCTCACCACTATACCTGGCTATTTTTTGTATTTTTAGTAGAGACGGGGTTTCACCATGTTGGCCAGGCTGGTCTCGAACTCCTGACCTCAAGTGATCTGCCTGCCTCGGCATCCCAAAGTGCTGGGATTACAGATGTGAGCCATTGTGCCTGGCCTTATTCTTATTTATAATACTTAATCAGTACTCACTAAGCATCTGAAATTTTCTATTGAGTAGCCACCAACTTGTACAAGAATTAGATTTAGAAAAAGTAGATTGGCCAGGCATGGTGGCTCATACCTGTAATACCAGCACTTTGAGAGGCTGAGGCAGGAGGATTGCTTGAGGCCAGGAGTTTAAGATCAGCCAGGGCAACAAAGTGAGAACTGGTCTCTACAAATAATGGAAGAAAAAAATTAGCCAGGCATGGTGGTGAACGTCTGTGGTCACAGATACTTGGGAGGCTGAAGTGTGGGAATCGATTGAACCCAGGCATTCAAGGCTGCAGTGCACTGTAATCATGCCACTGCTCTCCAGCCTGGGCATCAGAGCAAGACCCTGTCTGAAAAAAATGAAAAGGTAGATTGGGTCACACACCATGGCTCATGTCTGTAATCCCAGCACTTTGGGAGGCTGAGAAGACTAGAGAATCGTTTCAGCCTAGGAAGTAGAGGGTGCGGTGGGCTGCAATTGTGCCACTGCACTCTGGCCTGGGTGACAGCGTGAGACCTTGTCTCAAGAAAAAATAAAATAAAAAAGAGTAGATTGTAAAATGTGTTAGTCTGGGGAGACCCTTTAGAAGGAAGGACTGTGAAGTGAGATTTAGTGTCATTGCTCCTTTCTCAGTTTGTTAGCTTTAGGACTGAAGCATTTTGAAGGAACTGAGTTTCCTAATCCGCTAATCAGCAAGTACCTTCTAACCTGCAAAACTGCGCACCAACTGACAGTGAGAATCAAGAACCTCAACATGAACAGAGCTCCTGACAACATCATTAAAGTGAGTGTTTCCTGCATGCGCCATCCGGGCACCTCACCAATATGTACTCATTCTTTTCTCTTGTTATTCTCAAAGAAAAGAGGAACCTTCTTTTATCTAAAGCACTGACAGTATTCCACTTATATGCTTTTTGTGTGTGTGTGTGTGTGTCAGACAGACTCTTGCTCTGTCACTAAGGCTGGGGTACAGTGGCGTGATCTTGGCTCATGGCAGTCTTTACCTCCCAAGTTCAAGCGATTCTCCTGCCTCAGTGTCTCTCCTGCATCAGCATCCCAAGTAGCTTGGATTACAAGCATGCACCACCATGCCTGGCTAATTTTTGTATTTTTAGTAGGGACGAGGTTTCACCATGTTGGCCAGGCTGGTCTCAAACCTCTGACCTTAAGTGATCCACCCGCCTTGGCCTCCCAAAGTGCTGGGATTACAGGCGTGAGCCACTGCACCTGGTTTCTTCTTTTTTATTTAGATACTTATTTATGTTGTGTTTTTATTTAATTTTATTTTTGTTTTTTGAGATGGAGTTTTTGCTCTTCTTGCCCAGGCTGAAGTACAACGGCATGATCTTGGCTCACTGCAACCTCCATCTCCCAGGTTCAAGCAATTCTCCTACCTCAGCGTCCCCAAGTAGCTAGGATTATAGGCATGCGCCACCAAGTCCAGCTAATTTTGTATTTTTAGTAGAGATGGGGTTTCTCTGTGTGGGTCAGGCTGGTCTTGAACTCCCGACCTCAGGTGATCAGCCCACCTCAGCCTCCCAAAGTGCTGGGATTATAAGCGTGAGCCACCATGCCCGGCCTGTGTTGTGTTTTTAGAGACAGTTTTCTTGCTCTATCATCCTGTCTGGAGTCCATTGGCACAGTCGTAGGTCACTGTAGCCACAAACTCCTGGGTTCAAGTGATCCTTCCATTTCAGCCTTCCAAGTAGCCTGGAGTACAGGCACGTTCCACCAAGCCTAGCTCATTATTTTATTTTGTGTAGAGATGCTGTGTCACTTTGTTGCCCAGACTGGTCTTGAAGTTTTGACAACTGTCAGTCTGCCTGCCTCAACTTGGCCTCCCAAAGTGTTGGGATTACAGGCGTGAGCCACTATGCCCAGCCTTTTGTTTTGTTTTGTTTTTGTTTTTTTCTTGAGATAGGCTTTTACTCTGCTACCCAGGCTGGAGTACAGTGGTATCATAGCTCACTGTAACTTCGAACACCTGGGCTCAAGCATTCCTCCCACCTCAGCCTCCCAAGGAACTGGGATTATGTGCATGAGCTACCTTGCTTGCGTATTAAAAAAAAAATTTTTTTTCAGAAATGGAATGTCTCTATATTGCCCAGGCTGGTCTAGAATTTTTCGCCTTAGGCAGTTCTCCTGTCTCAGCCTCTAATTGCTACTTCCTGGTATATTGGATTTAGGCCTTATTTATTAACCATTAACCATAAGCTAGGGAAGTTGAGGATTTATCTGTCTCCTCACTCCCTTACTCCCACCACAAACATGCACATTTTCTGCTCTCCAATCTCCTCACTAGTAAATATGTCACAATTTTGGTTAGGTTGTATTCAGGGTTTACACTGTAAAATTTTAAGGACTGTATAAATGCTCTTCACATCTGAGCTTTGTTATTGTAATACCTTGCCTTTCCTGCTGAACGTTTTATTTCTCTTGGAGTAAATAATCACATTTTTTAGGGGAATGGGGCTGGACTTGATTTTATTATGTAATTATTCCCAGATCAACAGTAAAGGTTACTTAAATTTTCTTAATCTCCTTTCAGTGTGTCGGCCTTCTAGATATTCCGTCATTTTCATCTTGAAGGAATCGCTCCCTGAGCCCTCTGACCCTATTCCACTCTAAGCGTGTTGCCCTATGGGCTTGCTGCACTGATGTCTTCTTGGACTTTTTCTTTACCATAATCCTGGGGATTATTTTTGCCTCTTACTGTGTTGAATCTTCTTATTTCCCGAATTCTACATCTTTGTTTTTGTTTTACTTCCTTCCCTTAGTGGAACACATTCTAGTAGCATTTTTCTTTAAATTTTTTTCTAAATTTTTTTTTTTTTTTTTTTTTTTTTGAGACGGAGTCTCGCTCTGTTGCCCAGGCTGGAATGCAGTGGCTGGATCTCAGCGCACTGCAAGCTCCACCTCCCGGGTTTACACCATTCTCCTGCCTCAGCCTCCCGAGTAGCTGGGACTACAGGTGCCCGCCACCTTGCCCAGCTAGTTTTTTGTATTTTTTAGTAGAGACGGGGTTTCACTGTGTTAGCCAGGATGGTCTCGATCTTCTGACCTCGTGATCCACCCGTCTTGGCCTCCCAAAGTGCTGGGATTACAGGCTTGAGCCACCGTGCCCGGCCCTAAATTTTAAAAAATTGAGGCCATGTGTGGTGTCTTGTGCCTGTAATCCCAGCATTTTGGGAGGCCCAGGTGGGCGGATCACGAGGTCAGGAGATGGAGACCATCCTGGCTAACACAGTGAAACCCTGTCTCTACTAAAAATACAAAAAATTAGCCACGCATGGTCGCGGACGCCTATAGTGCCAGCTACTCGGGAGGCTGAGGCAGGAGAATGGCATGAACCCGGGAGGTGGAGCTTGCAGTGAGCCGAGATCGCGCCACTGCACTCCAGCCTGGGTGACACAGCAAGACTCCATCTCAGAAAAAAAATTGAGACAGGTCTCACTTTTTTGCCCAGGCTGGTCTTGAACTCCTGGGCTCAAGTCATCTGTCTGCTTCAGCCTCCCAAAGTCCTGGGATTACAGGCCTGAGCCACTGTGCCTGGCTGTCTTTGTACTTTTTTAAATGTAGGATATCAGTATTGTTCCACTTGGCTCTTTCCCACTAGTCTGTAAGCTCCTTGAGAGCAGGAATTGCTTCTCTTACATGTGTGTTTACCTTTTAGCACAGTGCCTAGGACATAGAAAACATTCTGTATATGTTGGATAAGCAGATATTGTCAATGGTTTTAGTTCAATTCTCATCTTCATTTATTCTTTTTTTTTTTTTTGAGACGGAGTCTCGCTCTGTCCCCCAGGTTGCAGTGCAGTGGCATGATCTCGGCTCACTGCAAGCTCCGCCTCCTGGGTTCATGCCATTCCCCTGCCTCAGCCTCCCGAGTAGCTGGGACTACAAGCACCCACCACCACGCGTGGCTGATTTTTTGTATTTTTTAGTAGAGACGGGGTTTCACCGTGTTAGCCAGGATGGTCTTGATCTCCTGACCCCGTGATCCTCGCGCCTCAGCCTCCTAAAGTGCTGGAATTACAGGCGTGAGCCACCGCGCCCGGCCTATTCTTTTTTTTTTTTTTTTTAGCCAGCGTCTCACTCTGTCACCCAGGCTGGAGTGCAGTGGCACGATCTCTGATCTCAGCTCACCACAACCTCCACCTCCCAGGTTCAAGGGATTCTCCTGCCTCAGCCCCTTGGGTAGCTGGGATTACAGGTGCATGCCACCACACCTGGCTAATTTTTATATTTTTGTAGGGATAGGGGTTTTGCCATGTTGGCCAGGCTGATCTTGAACTCCTGACCTTAGGTAATCTGCCCGCCTCCTAAAGTGCTGGGATTACAGGCCCGAGCCACCATGCCCAGCTTTCATTTACTCTTAGAATTGAACGTTCTCAGGCTCTCTTTTTTTTCCCCTTCTCTTCTAATGCCCTTCACACCATCATTTGCTTAAAATGAAGCTTTCATGTGTCCAAGGTATAGATTACGATGCTGTCTTTGCAGCTGTTGAGCAGGAACAAATCTTACATAAGATTGCTCTGAGCATCTGCTTCCTTTTCTCTCTGTGACCTAAACTGTCCCCTTCCTGGCAACCACATAGAGATCATCAGTTAGAAAATAGAGATTAGTTTAATTCAAAATGTACAAGTATTCAGCATATGCTATTTATATATATGTATTCGTGGGTGTCTATGTGGTTTTGTGTGTGTGTGTGTGTGTGTGTGTGTCTCTCTCTCTCTCGATCCACCACCCACCCCATTCACCAGCCTGACAGAGGACAGTGTTTCCAGAAGGAATGTAACTCATGCACATTTTTTTCATGTTAAGTTTTATAAGAAGACCAAACAGCTGCCAGTCTTAGTAAAATGCTGTGAAGAGATCCAGCCACATCAGTGGAAGCCACCTGTAGAGAGAGAAGAACACCGGCTCCCATTCTGGTTAAAGGTACAACCCTCTTCCTCAAAGTCTGTGGGAGGCAAGTCACTGAAAGCTCTGAGAGAATATCAAGGGCTTCCTTAATCTACTGATGCTTTAGTTGTAGAATTAGGACTTCAGAAATCTTCCTCGTTCACCTTTCTTCCCTTACTTTTCTGCCCTTCTCTGGGTGATTCTACATTTTCAAAATAATAGGTAAAATAGTAATTTGCTAAAGGAAATTCACAGAAGTTTCTAAAGTGTATAATTGGAATGTGGTCTTTGTAGATTTGATACGCAGAGAGACTTTTCTTGGAAAGATGCCTTGAGCTTGTCTCAGGTCCCTAAAACCTAGAAAGCCCTATTGTTTTTCCCAAATTCTTTTTTTGTTGTTGTTGTTTTGTTTTGTTTTTGAGACAGAGTCTTCCTCTGTCCACCCAGGCTATGGTACGATCTCGGCTCCTCGCAACCTCTGCCTCCCAGGTTCAAGTGATTCTCCTGCTGTTGCCTCCCCAGTAGCTGGGATTACAGGCACATGCCACCACACCCAGCTAATTTTTATATTTTTAGTAGAGATGGGGTTTCACCATGTTGGTCAGGCTCGTCCTGAACTCCTGACCTCAAGTGATCTGCCCACTTCAGCCTCCCAAAGTTCTGGGATTACAGGCGTGAGCCACTGTGCCAAGCTTCTTTTTCCCAAATTCTGACATATGCTGGATCAGAGTGTTCTTGTTTCCAATAGGCCAGTCTGCCATCCATCCAGGAAGAACTGCGGCACATGGCTGATGGTGCTAGAGAGGTAGGACATGTGACTGGAACCACTGAGATCAACTCAGATCAAGGCCTAGAAAAAGACAACTCGGAGAGTGAAACTCGGTACCCACTGCTGTTGCCTAAGGGTGTGGTCCTGAAACTGAAGCCAGTTGCCACCCGTTTCCCCAGGAAGGCTTGGAGACAGAAGCGTTCATCAGTCCTGAAGCCCCTCCTTATCCAACCCAGCCCGTCTCTCCAGCCTAGCTTCAACCCTGGGAAAACACCAGCCCGATCAACTCATTCAGAAGCCCCTCCGAGCAAAATGGTGCTCCGGATTCCTCACCTGATCCAGCCAGCCACTGTTTTACAGACAGTTCCAGGTGTCCCTCCACTGGGGGTCAGTGGAGGTGAGAGTTTTGAGTCTCCTGCAGCACTGCCTGCTATGCCCCCTGAGGGCAGGACAGGCTTCCCTCTGTCTGAGTCCCAGACTTTGCTCTCTTCTGCCCCTGTGCCCAAGGTAATGCTGCCCTCTCTTGCCCCTTCTAAGTTTCGGAAGCCATATGTGAGACGCAGACCCTCAAAGAGAAGGGGAATCAAGGCCTCTCCCTGTATGAAACCTGCCCCTGTTATCCACCACCCTGCATCTGTTATCTTCACTGTTCCTGCTACCACTGTGAAGATTGTGAGCCTTGGCAGTGGCTGTAACATGATCCAGCCTGTCAATGCGGCTGTGGCCCAGAGTCCCCAGACTATTCCCATTACCACCCTCTTGGTTAACCCTACTTCCTTCCCCTGTCAATTGAACCAGCCCCTTGTGGCCTCCTCTGTCTCACCCTTAATTGTTTCTGGCAATTCTGTGAATCTTCCTATACCATCCACCCCTGAAGATAAGGCCCACGTGAATGTGGACATTGCTTGTGCTGTGGCTAATGGGGAAAATGCCTTTCAGGGCCTAGAACCCAAATTAGAGCCCCAGGAACTATCTCCTCTCTCTGCTACTGTTTTCCCCAAAGTGGAACATAGCCCAGGGCCTCCATCAGCAGATACAGAGTGCCAAGAAGGATTGTCAGAGAACAGTGCCTGTCGCTGGACTGTTGTGAAAACAGAGGAGGGAAGACAAGCTCTGGAGCCGCTGCCTCAGGGCATCCAGGAGTCTCTAAACAACTCTTCCCCTGGGGATTTAGAGGAAGTTGTCAAGGTGGAACCTGAAGATGCTAGAGAGGAAATCAGTGGATCCCCTGAGCGTGACATTTGTGATGACATCAAAGAGGAACATGCTGTGGAATTGGACACTGGCATCGCAAGCGAGGAGTTGAACAGTGCTAGAGAGGTAAAGAAACAGACAGTCTTACAGAAGGAAGAGGAGAGGAGTCAGCCAGCTAAAACCCCTTCATCTTCTCAAGAGCACCCTGATGAAGGAACCTCAGGGACAGATGTGAACAAAGGATCATCAAAGAATGCTTTGTCCTCGATGGATCCTGAAGTGAGGCTTAGTAGCCCCCCAGGGAAGCCAGAAGACTCACCCAGTGTTGATGGTCAGTCAATGGAGACTCCAGTTGGGCCAGAAACTGGAGGAGAGAAGAATGGGCCGGAAGAAGAGGAAGAAGAGGACTTTGATGACCTCACCCAAGATGAGGAAGATGAAATGTCATCAGCTTCTGAGGAATCTGTGCTTTCTGTCCCAGAACTCCAGGTGAGAGCTGGAGAATATTTTCAAGTATTTTGTGGACTCAGTAATATGTTTAATTTATTGATATGCCACCTGCTTGCTTGCTACACTATGGATAGTCCTAAAATCATTTTTATTTATTTGTAATGCATTATGGAACATGATTGTGAAGTTGAGGTGAAATGAGATGGAAAGGATGAAATTTTACTGATTTTATTAAACTGATTTACACATTAAATTGAATCACCTGACCATACTTTAGATGCCTTAAAAAATTAAAAAATAGTAATTGGCTGGGCTTGGTGGCTCACACCTGTAGTCCCAACGCTTTGGGAGGCCGAGGTGGTTGGATCACAAGGCCAGGAGTTTCAGACTGGCCTGGCCAACGTGGTGAAACCCCATCTATACTAAAAATACAAAAATTAGCCAGGCGTGGTGGCGGGTGCCGGTAATCCCTGCTGCTTGGGAGGCAGAGGCAGGAGAATCGCTTGAGCCCGGGAGATGGAGGTTGCAGTGAGCTGAGATCGCATCATGGCGCTCCAGCCTGGGCAACAGAACAAGGCTCCGTCTCAAAAAAAAAAAAAAGGTGTAAATAGCCTGGCGCGGTGGCTCACGCCTATAAATCCCAGCACTTTGGGAGGCCAAGACAGGCAGATCACCTGAGGTTGGGAGTTCAAAACCAGCCTGACCAACATGGAGAAACCCTGTCTCTACTAAAAATACACAAGTAGCTGGGCATAGTGTCGCCTGCCTATAATCCCAGCTACTCAGGAGACCGAGGCAGGAGAATTGCTTGAACCTGGGAGGCAGAAGTTGCAGTGAGCCAAGATTGCACCATTGCACTCTAGCCTGAAAACTATCTTCAGGTTATAGAAGTTTGTAAAAGGGAACCTCTTCCCCTCTCCTGCTGTCAGGCCGAATGTCAGCTATCACTGGGATTTCTTTTTTTGGTCTTGTGTGTGTGTGTTTGTGTTTTTTTTTTTTTTTTTTTTTGAGACGGAGTCTCACTCTGTCTCCCAGATTGGAGTGCAGTGGCACAATTTCAGCTCACTGCAACCTCCGCCTCCCAGGTTCAAGTAATTCTCGTGCCTCAGCCTCCCAAGTAGCTGGGATTATAGGCATATGCCACTGTACCTGACTAATTTTTGTATTTTTAGTAGAGACGGGGTTTCATCATGTTGGCGAGGCTGGTCCTGAACTCCTGGCCTCAAGTGATCCACCCACCTCACCTTCCCAAAGTGTTGGGATTACAGGCGTGAGCCACTGTACCTGGCCCATTGCTGGGATTTCATAACTCAGGGAATTCCCCTCTGACAGCTGTGGTGGGCTCCCCATTGTTTAACTTCAGATTATCCTGATATAGCTTTGTGCTGTTCTGCAATTCATGAGCCACTAAGAGCCATTATAAGTACTCTTTGGAGGGTTTTACAGGAAACAATGGAGAAACTGACTTGGCTGGCATCTGAAAGGCGCATGAGCCAGGAGGGTGAGTCTGAAGAAGAGAATTCTCAGGAGGAGAACTCTGAGCCGGAAGAAGAGGAGGAAGAAGAAGCAGAAGGAATCGGAAGGCCTGCAGAAAGAGGATGAAATGGCGGATGAAGCGATTTAGGAGACTCAGCTGAGAAGCTCCTTCTCACTTTTGCCTCATCTGGGGACTGCTCAGAGTGGGAGACCAGCAGAACTCCACCAGGTGATTAGGCAAGCCTACAGAGGACCAGTCTCACTTAACCTCGTTGTCTAGAGGACAGCATGCAGAGTGGATAGCTTATAAACCAGGTGGAGGATTTCCAGAGGAAACCCTCTGGATCTGTTCTGCAATCCCCCACTCCCCAAAACCGTTTAATGTGGTGTCTTTGTGGAGAACAGATACTCAGAAATTTTTAATTTGATTCCTATCCATTGTTAGATTTATATTAGCTTCCTTCACTTTCTTTTTTTTTTTTTTTTTGAGATGGTGTCTTGCTGTGTCGCCCAGGCTGGAGTGCAATGGCGTGATCTCGGCTCACTGCAAGCTCCGCCTCCCAGGTTCAAGCGCTTCTCCTGCCTCAGCCTCCTGATGGCTTCGGATTGCAGGCATCCACCCCTACACCCAGCCAATTTTTGTATTTTTAGTGGAGACAGGGTTTTACCATGTCAGTCAGGTAGTCTTGAACTCCTAACCTTATAATCCGCCTGCCTCGGCCTCCCAAAGTGCTGGGATTACAGGCGTGAGCCACTGCACCTGACCGTTCACTTCACTAAACTGATTGTTACCTTATCTGTGTGCTTAATGGGGCTAAGACCCATGTTTATTTCAGGAAACACTGCTTGGCCCCTCTGTCCAGACATAGTCTCTCAAGGCACTACAGTGCACTTGCTCTTTAGACTTCCTTTCTCAATGTAAGTAGCTGATTATCTTGTCATCCCAATTAAGGCAGTTACACTGCAGACTCTGCATAGAGCTGACTTGACAGACTTACTTCTCATACACGTTGCCCAACAACCTTTTCCTTCCAGGTTGCTCCATATTGAATAGGATTTGGCTGGGAATTGGTGCATGTCGGTGGAATGGAAAAGAGCAGAGTTTAAAGGGACAGAGAAACAATCTTGCACCATGTGCTGCAAGGAGAGAGCATCAAAGCTGCTGGAAAGGGCGGAACAATCCTTCGAGCTCGCAACAAGCGGGAAATCGAGCTCGGAGCCAGCAAGACCTCAAACTGCTGTTGCTGTATGATGAGGACATTCTCGAGCGAGATCCCCTCAGGGGAGCAGAAGGACTTGGCCTTTTAAGCTTATCTGACCAGGGTAGGCAAATGCTGCTTCCTGTTACTGCCAGTCTCTGTGAATGTGGCTGCTGCTTCAAGGGAGATGTTTTAAAAATAGCGTCTGTTTTTCCAGGCTATACAACAGGCATCATATTTCCTCTATGTTGGCTTTTCTGGCAAAAGATCTCTGTGACAGAACCACAAGAGGCAGTAGGAATTCAATCATAAGTATGTTTAGTGGTAATACCCTGCCATCATCCTTCTGTTTTACTGTAGAGATTGGCAGAAGAGTGATACCACCATCATCAGTGGGAGAGTTGTGACTTTATTAGGTGGGTGATAAGGACCTTTATAGAACCTTTGGCTTGAGAAGAAAGACAGTGGGTACACTGGCCAGCAAGTGGATTTCAGAGAAATACATTGCTCTTAAGACATGAACCAGCTGGGCAGCAGTGGTTCACATCTATAATCCCAGCACTTTGGGGGCCGAGGCAGGTGGATCACCTGAGGTCAGGAGTTCGGAGACCAGCCTGGCCAACATGGTGAAACCCTGTCTCTACTAAAAAAATACAAAAATTAGCCGGGCGTGGTGGCAGGCGCCTGTAATCCTAGCTACGGGGAGGCTGAGGGGCACAGAATCATTTGAACCCGGGAGATGGAGAGTTGCAGTGAGCGAGATTGCACCACTGCACTCCAGCCTTGAGCAGGGTGAGACTGTCTCAAAAAAAAAAAAAAGAAAGACATGAACCAGGCTAGGCGTTGTAGCCCATACATATAATCCCAGCACTTTGGGAGGCTACGGTAGGAGGATTCCTTGAGTCAAGGTTGAACAAGCCTGGGCAACATGGAGACCTCAACTCTACAAAAATTAAAAAATCAACTAAGCATGGTGATACATGCCTGTAGTCCTCCACTACTTTGGGAGGCTGAGGTGGAAGGATGACTTGAGCCCAGGTGGTTGAGGCTGCAGTGAGCCATAATTGCATCAAGTGCACTCCAGCCTGGGCAACAGAATGAGACCCTGTCTCAAAAAAAAAAGACGTAAGCCAACCTCTTCTTGGTAGTGTCCTGGAGAACTATATCCTTCTGTTGGTAACCACCTGGTTCCTTTATCCCCCTGGAAAGCAGAATACTGGCAATGATAGTCATAGCTTTTTCTTATCTCTTAATATTTTACTGATATTAAGTAACTTAGGTATTATTACTCTCAGATTAACGCCCATGCTGAAATACATGTACAAACACATGTGCCTATTTCATTATGAGGATGTAATCAAGTAAGGGAAAAGGCTAGGGCTGCAGCAGAAGAAAGCATTACTTGGTTTGTGGGTAGAGCTGTGGAACTTGGAAAATGTTTTTTTACTTGCTCCTCCCAGAAAAGATCTTTACCTTGCCTGTTGCTCTGTGTCTTCATTAACAGTCAGATCTTAAAAGATCTGTTGGAGAGGCGCAGCCTCTGATGGATAATTCTTGGAGCTCTCTAACCATAACCCTGCCTTCTCCCATGCCCTTATTGCTTTATTTGTAGCCCAAATAAAAAGGGTGTTGATGATTGAAAGTCTTCCCGTGTAGAGTCGAGAAGCCCTACAACATATCTGGCAAGTATGAAGACTTCCTTCAAGTCATCTATGAATTTGAGTCAAGTACCCAGAGACAGACAGCTGTGGAGTCTCTACAAAAGCCTGCAAATTCTGCTCCAAGACTGGCCTCAGCTGTTGAAAGACTTTGCTGCTTTCCTGTGCCTGAGCAAGCTCTGGCCTGTGGATTAGTAAGTGAATGGGGAAAAAAAGTACACTAGGACTTCCTGAGTCAGAGTGAGACTGGGATTGAATGGAGTTGAATAAGACTGTTTCAATCTCCCAACTCCTTCAGACACACAGGCGTCCCTAGCCCAGGTGATAGAGCCTCTCTGTCTTTTCAAGGGATTATCTTTCCAATCCCATGCTCCCATTTTCTTTACATGATAAATGAGAGGGTTTTACCTGTAGTTGCCAAAGGAGACTTTGGGTAGATCTACTGCCTCTCTGCTTCTCACTCAGTATCAAGCCAGACATTCATTTTAACAAGTATTTGTTAAGTGCCTCCTAACTAGCATCAGACAATTCCTGACTCAATTTGCTGGGAATATAGCAATTACAAAGACTAAAATCCTGCCCTCATGGAGCTTATGTTTTCATGGGAAGTTCAGATGATATTCTAGAAAACATATATAATATATAAAACATAAATTATAAAAAGAAATATAAACAGTGAAATATGCCAGTATGCAATGTTTTATAGTGATCATGTTTACAGAAAAATAAAGCAGGAAGGAAACTAGAGGGTGGTTTTATACACAGTGGTCTAGGAAGGCCACTGTGGTACGAAATCTTATGTAAATGTTGCAGAATAGGAGGCTAAACATGAGATATCCCAGTAGTCCTGGACTTCTTGTCACAAAATAGGAGGCAAGGAGGAATGAAAGTTATTCTAAGAGTTTTATTGGGGTTAAGTGACAGTGGAGTGGTAGTTCTGTATAATGTGTGATGCCCATTTTCTCTTCTGGTATTATTATGAGGATCCAATCAGTGTATATGTGAAAAAAAATTTTTTTATTTTTTTTTTTTTTTGAGATGGAGTTCCTCTTATTGCCCAGGCTGGGTACCCAGTGGTTAATCTCTGCTCACCGCAACCTCCACCTCCCAGGTTCAAGTGATTCTCCTGCCTCAGCCTCCCGAATAGCTGGGATTACGGGCATGCACCACCACGCCACAAGCTAATTTTGTATTTTTATTAAAGATGGGAGTTTTCTCCATGTTGGTCAGGCTGGTCTTGAACTCCAGACCTCAGGTGATCCGCCCG